AGTTATTGTTGTCTATTGACTTATTACCATGCGATTTTCCAGACGGTCGTTTATTTCCGCAATGTTTTTAGCCGGCTAGTTCACTTAGTAGCAAATAAACGGCAAATGAACAAGTCAACAGTCGGCAAAAACGATCGATTCTAGGCAATGCAGAATTCCGCAGTAACGGTGGAATTAGCACTGCAATCTATTTCTTCTTCATACTTACCTTCCCCATGTTACGCGGACGGAATCAGGGCAAGTATAAAAAGAGAATGGAAAAAGAGAGAAAAAGAGAAGGAGCAAGCAGAATAAATCAAAAAGCTAGAACATCCTACTTCTGGTGAATTTATTCTGTTGTATATTATAATATTGCGAATCTTCTTCTGTTTCAATCTACCGTCTAGAAACGCAGGACAAAACAAAACAACTCCGTCAAGCAGCTCGTTTTTGACAGAACACGCAGATGCTGCGAGTCATATACGTGCGCTCTGTTGCAGTGACTCGCAAATACTAAGCAATTTTGCGGTCGCGACCGGGAGTTGCTCATGCGTTATGTCAATCAATGCAACTTCACGGACTCCTCCTGTACCCAACACTCGAAAAAGTCTTTTTTTCCGGCGAAAAACTCTGCCACTCGTCAGACACCGTATGCCGTTATGCTTGTCTATTTCTCAATGGCATTTTTGTCGAATGGCTTGCTGACTGACTAACTGCATTACAGGCGATTGCAGGTATTAGACTGGATTCATTTGTCTTACGTAACCTTATCTGTCAACAGTCTGACCAGTACATGCGGCTCATTTTGTGTATCGAATATTGGTATCGGTTTGACTTCGAGCGGAAAATCCGATTGTAACAATAGACTGGGTAGACAAGACAAACCTCACCGGGCAGAATTGGGTGATGCTGTTGCTGCTAATGATGGTAGTTATAGGTGGCGAGTTTGACGACTGTACTAGCTGCTCCAGCGGTCGAGACATATATATGGTACGTCTGCAGCACGAGCACACGAAAAACGAGACGAGCTGCTCAATGAACAGGAAAACGAGGACAAAGACGGGAGAAACCAGCGTGAAGAATCGTCATTAGGCTGCAGATGGAATGGGCATTGGTTTTCAACGCCTTCTTCGAACCCTTCTAGCAAGCTTCTTTCGTTTTATAGCCCTACAGAACAGACGTATACACGTTCTTCCATAGACAGCCGCAGGTATAGCTACGGAATCACATGGCATCTTTTAGTTGTTCTTCTTGTCAGCATCCAGTAGACGTTGTCTGCGCACTCGCATTGGATTTTTCTGCGTGACTGGTTTCCTTCGTGACCAGACAATTTAGAGGGGGAAGATATGAACTTTCGTTAGACTTTAATACTGACTGTCGCTCATCACTCATGGCTTCTCTTCGGTTGACCGACCACCAACGTATTTTACGAACTGTTTTGCGCGGGCTTCGTGTGATAGGTCAGGGTTCTGCCGTCAGAGTCTGTGGGTCCGACTTTGTCGACTTTGGTCTCCTTCATGGCATCTTCTCTGTAGTCTGCGATTACCTTCACTTGGCGTCAGCCGTTAGTTGTATTTTCCCTCCTGCCTTTTCATACGCGTACGCGTCTCTCTCTACGTTGACCTGTCTCCGTCAACGCGTGTATGTACTTCCTTCTCTCAGTGTCTTTGTGTATCCGAGTCAATTTACTTCGCATGTACTCCTACATCTGTAAATATTCGATGTATTTACATACAACCACATGTTATGAGTGCGCCGCAAAGCTGCTGCTGATCCTGCTGTCTCAACTTTTGTATCCATTTGCCATTCGTGTCGTCGCTTTGTTAGTTGTGGCGCGCTCATTTGAAATCCAGCGTAAAGGGAAACGATCCAGGGCAACACTTCACCCATCGGTCGATCGCGTAATTCGCCCGTTTTTTTAACTCTGCTGCGCATATTGAAGCGATGCGGTTATAGGATGTCTACGTTTTTCGTCCAGTACTGCAACATCAGACCTTACAACATCCTTCAGAAGTAAGCCGTCAACTCGATGACCGCGCATCGCTTCAGCTACTGGGGTCCCGACGACGAAACAACACCTGCAGCAGCTAGCAGTAGCAATCTTCAAGCGGGGTTGCATTCGCCAGTTAGCATTTTATAGGTTTCACTGGAGGCCGGTTGACTGACTTAGTGACTGTTTTCGAATAGATGTATGGGTATTGCGGCGGGCACAAACGGTGCTGGTCTCAACCAAAGCGAGAGCTTTACATAGACCGACTCAGTACACTGAACAAAGTGGCTACGCCATTGCCATCCCAGTACCACCATTATAGCGTACCATCCATGGCAGAACAGAGTGAGTGAGTTAGCTGGGACCAGCTGGCTTCCTGGTGGGATGGATGGTTGACTGGGTAGAGTGGACCTGTCGTGGATGGCATTTAGATGAGGAGGTAATGCTGCCCGGGGTGTGGTCCTGCAGTTGGCATTGAGGCAACTGTTGCCGGCTCTTCCATCGTGGTCGCTCTGGTCGTTCCAACCGCTGCCTATTTCACAAGAGTTAGACGCCACCATCAATAGCATACTGAGTAGCCAACGTACTGAGTCTTCGTTGCGCGTGTAGGTGTGTGTCTGTATGGCCAGACAGTTTGGACAGTAGGACAAGGCATACGATCACTTTGGCGGAGTCTACTGCCTGTTCACAAACCCATCATAACGGGATAGCGGGAAACCCAGGGATTCTCGGCGGCTTGTGCTAGTCGCCCCGCCCGTCGATCTGACTGTGGCCAGCGTTCGAGCCTCCAGGTAGTGCTGGCAACGCGGAGTAGAATTACATTAAATCGCGCCAAGTCAGCCCCACCCACGGAGACAGGCGGGCAGCACAACCATCGCGTTCAACATAGACTACTAGTCATTTCCATATAGCAGATTCCCGTTCGGCGTAGACACATACACACGGGCACAGGCAGGTACACGAACAAAGAAACAGGCACACGGGCCTTCGGCGATTCCACACAGACAGGCAACAACAGAACGTCACACACACACAGACACTCATATGGAGAAATGGTCACAGCCTCATCATTTGTATCCTCGTCCGTCGGCCACGACAGGCGGGTACAGCTGAGCGAGCTCGGCATGCTGCTACTACTGCTGGTGTAGCCAGCGGAATTCTGCTGCTGTTTACTCAGAAAAGCCCCTCCCTTAGTTTTCCGACTGTCACCAGTATGAGCTAGAAGGGCCAGCGCCAAGAAGACTGAGATGGCTCTTTTCAACTCATTCTGGGCCTGTTATATGGGTTGCTGTGGGTCTTGGCACCGTTGGAGGACGCGTAGCTGACATTGCGAAAAAATCAATATGGATAAAAAAGCTAAAAAGGAGACTACAAATAAGCAGAGGGAAAAGAAGAATGAAACCAGCATGGGGCGAATAGGCCAGGAGTTGATTTACCCCGATGCTTCGCCGCTCACTGGTCCAGACGATCCTAACAAGTCGCCTTTGTCGGAAGAACAATAGCGTAGAAGGCGTTGTCGTAGTTGGATTGGTGACGAAATTTGAAAGATGCTTCGACCATGATCAGGATTAATGATGGATACCATGGTTCGCGTGGTCACAGCGACGGAAGGGTTCGATCGATGCCACAGCCCAGCAGCCCACGTCAGGCCACAGCTAAAGGCCGTTGCTATTGGGCTAAACTCGCTTGTATACTGGTCTGCTATATGACGGCTTAGCGTAAAACAATATGATTCATTCAGGCTAACTACGCAGACTTGTTTTTGAAGTCACGGCCATCGACACACTAACTTCAGCCACGACTAAGACTCGACCGTTATGAGATACGAACGTCATCCACAAATAGACTAAGCTAACAGGCCAGAGAAAACTATTCTTTATTCAGTTCTTGTGTCAAGTGAGTTCGTACGTCAAGACAATTTTATAGTATAGAGAGGTTACATAAAACCCCCATTGCCGAGCTTCCTCTTTGTGCGGCACTTTAACTCGTGATCCCCCGTGAATCAATCGAGAAAGACAAAATTGCATTCCACTACAGAAACGAGTTCAGACTATAATAGCGATTGTTTTATAAACAAACTGGATAGCACGTTAAAAAGAAGCAAAACAATTGATTATAGCATAAACAGTACGTCTTATTCTATGTTACTTGTAACGCTTCGAAACCATTTGGCGAACAATTCTCGGAAAAATGCGAAGACTAGATGCACCCTTTCTCACAAACGGGCACAGCCGCTGAAAAAAAAAGTCAAATTCATTACATCTCGATTACGTACACAAATTCCTGGGCTGTGTATGCAGTACTGCGGCTTATGTTGAGCGTATTATCAATATTAGAATACAATTTTTATCGGTCTCGGTGCCAGCCACAGAGCAAGCATCCCTATTTTGCGTCGAGGTCCATTTCTGGTGGTTTTATGATGGGTGACCTGAGTCACCGGCAGCAACAATAGGACCAAATGCAGAATGTGAAGGCCACAATGTGTAAAGCGATTTTTGTGTATTATCGTATCCTGCATTCCTTGACCCCATCAAATGCCTCATCGACTTGAATCACTGCAGACTCGCTAGTTGAAAGATGACTTCTGCGAAGTTCCCAATAGCCTTTTCATAACTCAATGAACTTAGGTTTTTAGCCACAGACTTTTAGAGACAACAGACCTTTAGACACTTTAACAGCCAGCGTTACCCAGTGGTCACCGACACACGTAGCTTTTTTCATTTCTGACAAATTCGTATGTTTATGATACTGTATAGATTGTTCTGTTTAGTGATAGGTATTGAAAAGGTATTCCTATAATAATCTACTTAGAAATTTCCTTTCTAACAATGCACGATACCAACTGTGTGTACTTACCTGCGCTTAATCAAATTAATTTACCCTGTATATTAATTGCACGTTGCACGTCGCCTTACGAGACTGATTGGCGTCAACAATTCTACGTTAATGTCTGTAATGCGGACCGCTCGAGTGCCAAGCCAATGCAGGGAACCCACCGTAGCGTGCTCGCCATGAACCTGCTGACTGCCTCGAACGGAGCAAAAGTGGCAGACATTAGTAGCGTCTTAGACGGCTGACTGCAACGGCTCAGATAACGTCAGTTAATCCAAACCCAGAAACCTGATTGAAGCGACTTCGATGTAGGTCGAATTACCACATTTTATTAAGTCGTGCTATTAATGGCATCAATCTACTGTAACTCTGGTAAAGCAGATGTCTGGGAAACAGGTATCGAAAAAGGTATAATCGTCATGCATATGGATGTTCTATGAGTACATAAACAACTTCTGGCGAATACTGTTGGGGACGTTGTTTACCTATTTAGCATATATTCGTTAAGCTAGAAAAAAACAAGCGTCATGTCTAGCGCTGTACAGGAATTGGTGACATTTGCCGGTCCGCTGTAGACATTCTGTATACGTTCCATAATGGTAGCTCGTATATTTAATGCAAGATGTTTACTGACTAGTTTAAACAGAAGCATTTCTGCTATCATGTTTGACAAAATGTGATATTTCTCTATTTGTCGGCCAAACTTTATCCTTAAAAAAGTTACTTCACTGTCAGATGCCTCGTTTAACGCAGCAACATGTACGATTCGACTTAATACACTCGTGCAAACGACAGCTATTAACACCTCTGTATAACCATTCAGATAAGAAAAGCACGTCGAACAGGAAGCCTCATGTGCCTGACGCTTTGCTGAACGCTTATTGTCTTTCGATATCGGAGCTGTAGAATTTCAGTGGATTTCGCGCGGTTGAACAAATCGTTAGACCGGCCATCTCGTCGTCATTGAGTCTAGGCAGACTTCGAAAAAATTCGGGCCACTTACCAGCCCTCAGCTGCATGCAACATGAACCGTCATATCGACGATATACCTAAAAGTGCGTTTCTGGTGGACGCATATATGGGTTTTTGGCTAGCTTCTATACCGAAGCGATGGACAAACACCAAATGGCAATAATAGTATTTAAGGAAAATCGTAGGACGATTAATTATTCTCTCGTTATTAAGAATTTTTTGCATTATTGATTTGACCTCGGTGCGCAAGGCTATCGCACAACAGTTTTAAATCATTCTGTGGGTAAAGTTCACGGTGACGGTCAACCCCATTATTTAAATACCGCCTCTGGTGGAGAATGCCTGCATACGGATAATCGACAGGTGAGTACTTTATCTGCTTCGTGTGTAGGTCACACCAAAGCGGCTGATAAAAGTAGGTTCGTAGACAATAGACATATTTGGGTGTGTACAATTAAACCGGATCGAACTCTTTACAGAAACTGAGTAAGGTGTGCTAAAGGCACGAAACGTTTTTAGTGAGATATGACGCCAGCTAAAGATATTTTGCGGCTCTTGTGAAAATCGGGGCCGAATCTCCTAGACAACGATTCTAACGATAAAATAGAGTGCGAAGTGTGAAGTTCGTAACACTGCTAACTCGCACTCAGTGTGCCTATGCGCATATGTTAATTTAATTATTGAAGTGAGGTCTAGTCTGGGGGGCCACTTCCAGCTACTTGTACGTTAGGTACAGATTCTCGCAAATGTTAAGCACGTCAAACATGACATGCCCAGCAGCTGTGTGGAACGCGCGCTGATGAATGATTATGTCGAATCAAGCCAAAGTTGGCTGATGATATGACGCACTCTACCCTAGGCATTAGGGAACTCATTTTAACGAGGGCTTCACACGGAATGGATCGCAGTAAATGCCCGTTACAATAGCAGCCGTACATTCTGTAACGCACAAGCAGCATTTCATGTTTCTAGATGCTCATGCTGCGTAAAAATAGAATTCTGTAAAAGACATGCATAATTACATCACTTAGCGTATTGTATGCTGGACTATTCTAAATGACTCATTCTAAATATCCATTTCTAAAATGAGAACTACAAAGACCCACTCTTTGTCGCTGTCTACTATGAACGATATGCTTTAGGCGGATCAGCTGACCGAGGAGCAAATCGCCGAATTCAAGGAGGCTTTCAGCCTGTTCGATAAAGACGGTGATGGCACAATTACGACCAAGGAACTAGGGACCGTCATGCGGTCCCTCGGCCAGAACCCTACTGAGGCTGAGCTTCAAGACATGATCAACGAGGTCGACGCTGACGGTGAGTTCTCGAAGTATATTACACATTGAAATAATCACTTTTCCGTACATCAACTAATCAGAAACAGTTGGGTGTTAATAAGAACTAATTGCTTGGCGAACGATGTATTCAGATTTTGTATTAATCTAATAATAAATAATGTAAAGGTTGAGTGGGTAAGGCCTGTGTTCACTCAACTTGTATGTACTTCGCTTGTAACTTTTTTTCTCTACAAAATATTTAGCATCAAAAACGAATAAGCCTAAATGCGCATAATCTATTTTACTTATGAATTACTCTCACCAGTATGATTGCCACTGCTTCATAGTATTCTATCTTTGTATAGCACGATATCGGAATTTGCCCTCTCGGCTGTACTTTGTAAGTGTTTCTCGTTGTTTGACACGTTTAGAGCCATTCTTCAGCCGTACCCGGTGAAATAATAGCACGAGTTTTGAAAGAGCAGAGGATGCAAGCAGATATTTCCTTATTCATTCACTCTTCTCCACGATTTATGACATGCTTCGCTCGCTGCCGGTGAACCATAGTGCTTTTCCCACTAAGCGCCCATGCTTCATATGAAGCCCTGACGATTTTCAAAGCTACTACCAGTAGCTAGCAATGGTAGCAAACAACTCGCATATTCTCTATCCCTCATATTTTTCTTTCTAGCTATTCATAAACAGAACCAGCTATAGGTTTCGTCGTTGAGTCATAAAACGTCGGAAGTCGCGAGTTTCATGTCCCCTATGGATCCGCGCCCACGTGATGTAGATCCGAACGCAGTTGTCTAGACAGAGAGTCCAGGGTAGTTCCGTCACTCCATTCAATAGCACCACCACCAACAACGACGGCACCTGGCTGCTCACTGCCACTCTCCAGTCTGTTTCCCCATAGTGGCCACCCCATAGCAGCTTGCCCCTATTCTAGTTCCTGAACGAATTTTTCTACGCCATACACTCCATAGAGCCCTCGCACTTCGTCGATCGGGCCTGGTTGCTGCTGTGCCTACTATGTGCGAGAGAGGTCTAGTGTAACCACACTTGACAGGCAATAATAGCCCGCTGCTTCTGAAGAAAGCTGCACTTAGAATGTAGGTGAAACATGGAAGGGGTCAGCGTCACGGAAGAGTACTAATGATAGAACAAACCCTTAAATGATTTTATATTTCCCCGTTTTTATCTGCCCCATTTAACGGATTAAACCACTGTATTTTTATAATATCAAACTCGTAATAGACGTATGTCAGCTGGGTCGGTGAAGTTTGTAGGCAAGCAAATCACGAAACTCAAGGGCCGTAAATATTGAAGAGTTGCGAGATAGACAATGTTTACTCGCTTCAAAATAAGATTTTTGTCATAGTCAGGTGGAGGTTTGCTAGAGCTAGATGCGAAAATTGGATCATAGTATACACGTCGTTTAAAATTTGACAAAAAAATCAGAAAGAGAACGGATGAGGTAAAAAACATAACTGCAATGCAATACGTTTGAGCGTATTTTTTTGTCCATATGTGTAACTTTTGCCGTTATGTTAGATCCTAAAGATGAGTATGTCGGCCACTAAGACGTAGTATTTCGAGTTGCTTCATTTTACTTTTGCCACGACGATGCAATCCAGAATATTTATTTCGTATATGGTGAGAACTCTATTATGAGTTATAATATTAACAATAGAGTTCTCACCATATACGAAATAAATATTTAAATAAATAATAAAGAAATAAATAGAAAAAAATATAAGAAATAAATAAAATACAATAAAAAAATCTTATACATCTGTCTTTAAAGTTGGATTAAAACGACCCTTGCTGGGTCGAAGATGAAGCACATTTAGGATCCGATTCTGAAACTACCAAGCAACTCATTAGTAGGTCTTTCAATTATGAAGTTCTCGTTATTTGAACCGCATTTATTCCGAATTATTTATTTGGTAGCTTTTTGCCTTCGATGAATGAGAAAAGAATATCGAACATGCCGTTGGCGTACCTATATTCAAAGCGTATATATATATATATATATACGCTTATATACGTATATATCCCTTTTTCGACAATTCCACCTTTTTCGGAATTATTGACTCCCTGATACGAATGCGTTATACAGAATAATTCTATTTAAATCGACATGTTGACCCCTCCGTTTAAACTCTTCATCGCTATTTACAACAAGTAGCTTGCCCGTTACCAACGATCGCTGACTAAGGCTAGCCTCTTTGATACGAACTTATCGCTGTGAGATCCGAGCATGTTTTTCACGAACAGATGCGCCCGTCCTTCCTCAAAAAAAGCTTATTCATGAAGCACAGAAGACATAACGCTCGAAGGTCTAAACAGCTTTGTCGTGCTGCGAATGCTGAGTAGGAAAGCTTCGGTGATAAATAATGAGACACAATCTACAGGCGCTTGTGCAAATTTAAGACGCAACTGCTATTCAAGCAATAACATTAGGGGTCGTTTTATTGCAACACAGACCTTCCTAAACACACAGCCCCGAGTAACAAATAACAACTGATGCCGCACATTGTCTGCTGGCGAAGGTCGCTATCGGCCCTGACCGTTATACTAACACTTGTATTAATATTCGATGACCAGGATAGTTCCGAAATCTGGGTATTGAAAATATAGGTGACAGTATGGCAGCAGGATCGGACAGCTATTTACACGTTTGATGGCCGTAGTGTCTAATCGCGTCGCGATCAAGGGAAAATCAAACTCGTAACAGGCGCATTGTTCGACTAAACGGACAAGAAGAACGCAGAACTTGCTAAAGCTGTCCCGGCAGCGTTGTGTCACGCAGAACATAATGCTCCTAGTAAGGGATCACAATTGGGCAGGTACTATGCTAGGCGACGCGCTGCTGATTGAAGAATTTTCACATTTATCTTACTAAGGAACGCAATTCCAAGGATCAGAAACTTCATTGAGGCGAGTTATCTGTATAGCTGCAATAACTGCATGAATTCTCTCTATTGATTTCGTCCGGGCTTTAAGCACACGAGGCTTTTTGTGACGAAACAGGAGAAAGTTAGTCACTGTCGTCAAACTGGTTAATTAGATTATTGGACAAGCTAACTAGCTCTAACGTAATTACACGATGTAAGTCTCTACCGCATTAGACTATGCTACGGTAAGGTTGCGAAACCTGAAACTCACTCACTTAATCGCCTGACGATTTTGCTTAGTCCCAAAGTTCTGAATGCCCCCGGTGTACCGCTAGTGTCATTTGAAGACATTCAGGTGTTGTAACTTTTTCGTTATTTAGAGCTTTTGCAGCGTTTGTTTTTCCATGAACGGTATCAACTCGACTGCTATACATTTTCTCTTTCCTGTATTTTTGCTGATGAACTTTTTTCAGTTAGCCAACGGTGGTCATGTTAATTTATTGAGTAACAACAATAATAATACTACAATGAGAAATGACTTGAAAGCCGTACGATAGCGTTCTTAACGTGCCGTTCGCTGACACTCCTGTATATCTACAGTCAACAGTATCACCAACAGATATTAATATTACTTGTCATGGTGGCTGGTTTAGTCTCGTACAGTGCAGCCTGATTAGAGCCAAACAGAAAGCTAAAATACTGCCTAAGAACGACGTTCATAGCAGAAGCAGGAGCGCAAATATGAAAGTTACTGGAAGATACTGATAACAACGCTAGCCGAATCGAGTGGTAACTGGTCGAAGTTAGTCGTAGTTAGCAGCGTGCTGGTTTGAGCTTACTGTCGTCATTTTGCCGGCTAACCTTCTATTCTTTCGCGTCCTTCACCTGCAGTTGCCACTGGCTCAACCAGCGTTGCTGAGTTGTCCTACTCTTCCTGACAAACAAACAATGAAGATAGTCTTCTTTTGCCTGTCCCTTCTTCTGACCTCTAGCCCCTATCCGTAAGGTCTTTCCCTTCATCGACTTCTTCTTCGTGCTAGTGCAGTCGCACGTCTTCTGCCAGTGGAGTCAGCCTGAATTCCGATACAGTTAGAACAGCAAGGGTGCCACGTAGAAGGGGCTAATAACTTTAAGCTATTTAACCTAAATGCGATGCGTCCTAACGGGTCTGTGAAGAAAAGGCCGGGCTCCATGAGCTGTACGTGGTGCTAATACTATTATGACTGCTGCTACAGTCTTCGGCTGGAATATGGCCATAGGAGGTGTGCAGCGGAGGGTGCTGGAAGTACAACTGCTGCTGGCGTAGCTCGTTTTTTTGCGGTATCAGGATCACGTGTACGTAATGGCTAACCGTTAATTTAGGCGTGTAAAGCGCCCAACCGAGGTTCAACCCGTCCAGAATGGATGTCGGCAATATCTCGCTGGCTTGCTCTCTCCTACTGCAGAGGCTGCTGTCGTAATTGCTCTAGCTCGACGATGGTTGCTGATCTTCGTTCATGCGCACACCACAGAGTCCCCCGCACCATCGCGCCCAACCCAGTGAACACGTACTGTTGGTCCGCGTGCCAGAAGCTCTAAACGCAGAAGGTAGGTTGCCCCGGAGAGCAAACACCCCGTAGTGTATGAGCGAATGGGGCGCGCAGCTTTTACTTAAAGCAGCGCCAACAGTTTGTATCGCGTCGCGGTGTCTAGTCTTAGTAGCAATGGTAGTAGGGGTTCGTTCATTGATATACAACAGGAATCGCCACTTCCAGCGTCTGCAATGGCTAGTGAAGCTTCTAAACGGTCGCACAGCTAGTATTACATGTACGTATTGCGGTCTCCGTAGCGAGGAGAGCGGTGACAACTAAAGGCCTTACTTTTACTCTATCAACACACTTGCCTTCCCTCCGACGGTTTACCATATATGTGTATAATGCACAACTTTAACAATAGAAACAGCAGCTGGAGCAGAGTACTCCTTTGGGATTTGTAGCTTGCTGGGCTGCTTCGATAACTCTTTGCATGGCTATGACTGACCTTGCTGCTAAGCCTGAACCGGTAGCACCGTCCTGAAACGCCAGTTGGAACGGCACCCGCACGTATACAAGCACAAAAAGGGTCATCAAAGCGCAAGAAGAAAAGACACAAAGGGTTAGAGCATCCACTTTTACCTCTCGCAGCAGACCTTATCTCCCCCGTTGCCATCTTTGCTACGTCTGGTGCTAAGTCTGCCAGCACTGCGCACCCCGAAACAGTGTCTACTACCGACGTTCGTGCGCAATGTGTGGGGGAGGCGCTGCCGTCACTTTAATTTAACATTTTATCCCGATTTTGCTCGGCCGCGTACAGTGTAGGGAGCCAACACTGCGTTTGTCTGTGAGAACGATGTGAAGCAGACATGAGTCCGCATCACATCAACACCAATATAAAGTCACCAACAACACAAACTCGCCCCAGCTATGGTGACGTTCAAACTGCAACAGTAGGTGCAATCTAGTAGTTCAGCTGGCCAATTTATCAGCCGTTAGTCAACCTCAAGGCTAGACAGAGCCAGTCAACCGCGTAAACAGCTACCTATCCGACCCAGTCGTTACTTGCGCGTTAGGCATTTACAACACCCCAGCAATGGCCGCCGTCTGTTACTGCTGAAACGGCCACACTAAAGCAAAACGGCAGACCGGTTAGTGTGGTAATTTTTTAAAATAGGAGAACGAGTAAGAGGTGGAGTAGTAGAATTGTGGGAGAGTGCCATTCGTGAGTTTAAATTGCAGGATGGTGTTTTTCGTCCTGCTTTGCATGTCTGCTTTAATAACTTGGCTGGCTCGCTTACCTCTTTTGAAGCTCCTGGGCGTACATCTCTCAACCAGCCAGTCATTTCTTCCATAAACTATGATAATGCTAACGTAACAACTAACTCGCTGAAGAACTTTGTTTAGTTTGCTAGTCTTTTGGGGATTGCTGACAAAGGCTCTGGGAGACGTACAGCCATTGTAAGGCGCAAAGACGGTGCACGATAAAAACATGAAGGACCAAGACATAGTGGACAAGTAGATGACAAAACCCCAACGTTTTTGACGTCCGCGCTACCGTTTGGCGCCTCGGCTAAGGCGAACAAAACAGTGCAGAAAAGTAAGATAAAAACCAATTTCTGTAGAGGAAATAGCAGCAGCGGTTACAGTAGTAGTGACAAGAAGAAAAGGAACATAATTAGAAGAGCCCATTTACGCTTATTGGCCTAAGCAATGGATTGGTGGAGCTTGGTGACAGTTGAAGGTCGCAAAGGAACATACGCCCTTGAAAAGTAGGTACGTCCAGAAAGATCCTAGTATCGGTTGGAAAAGTGGGGAGCAGGGCTAAGTGTAGACCTCTGTCTTACGTTTTGCACGGGGTCCATGTAAAGGTACAAGATCGTTGGCGGCCTTTGTGGCCACCGTTGCTGTTACTGCAGTCACCTACCCGTTTGTCTAATGTTTGTTAATGGCATTCCCACTTACTCGGTGAGCTGACGGTAGCTGGTCCAACTGTGGGTGTTGAAAGCAATGTTTTGCGTGGTTGGTTCTCCTGCTTTTCTCGTTCGCCGGCTAGAGTCATAAATTAGTATATTTGGCTGAGTGATATAAAGTGCTGCTATACAATAAGAGAAACAAACGGGAGGTGCGAAGGCATTCAGTGGCGTTGAGTACCAATGCCACGCGGTGCCTATGGGGATTAGTCCTATGTCGGCCTGAAGATACTTAGAAGACAGCTCGGTCAACTGAATTTTTACGTCATTCATAGCTGAAATGTTCAAACCACATTCGTGGTCAACCCGAACACCCATATATGGAAATTCCGCCCGGCATCTTTGGGTGGGTCAGGTGGAAAGCCGATTCGACGCGGGTACACTAATGAAAGTACGATGAGTCTATAGCATTCGCCTCCTGTGAAACCTCCTTAATATGCTTGCGTTTGCCTAATGAGTTGATTTGTTGATGTGGGTGTTGACTACCGACCTGGGTTGCTTCGGGTCGCGACGCAGTGATGTTAACTTGGATAGTGGGGTCACCAAAAGGAGAGCCCTTACAGCAGCGGAGAAGATGCAACTTACCAAAAACGGCCGAACTCATTGCATTTGCTTTGGTTTCGCACACCTCTGCTAGTTCCTGCGCATGCACGATGGGTGTGGGGTGACACTAAATTGGCAAGTATTGCCTACAATGGCGTACCACACGCGCGTGGAGTGGTCCTGTATAAAAGAATTCAGTCCAATGGAAATGCCTACCATACAGCGTAATATCTAGCAAAAAAGACAATCAAAATAGCATCACCGTACAGTTTGTATGCAGGAGTGGCGGCGGTAGGGGCACTCAGAAGACACTGCATGCAGAGTGCTTTCCATGCAGCAGAAGCAAAATGCTGTTGGCAGATGAACAAGCCGTTGTCCTTGAGTCGCCCGAAGGTCGCGCGCCGTATGCTTCATCTTACTATTCAGTAAACAGCGGAACATCCAAAGAGGAGAACGTTAAGCCGCAAAGGTGAAACATAACTTAGAGGAACAAATCGAGCCGACACGCAAACGCAGCTCGTTTTGTGTAAGGAGGCTGTCTGTCCATGCACTAACCATTCACTTCGCGTATATAACATACAAGTATGATGTGTTGTCGTCTACACTGAAATGTTGGATTGACGTGACGCATTACTCTTGTCGACTAGTAACTATCATTTAATAAGAACTCTTGCAGTCGACCTTGAAGAAGTCAGATGAAAAAAGCGCGACTGCACTCAATCGTGGCCTCTTTTGAATTCATTTAGACCATTTAGACAAGTTTTCATTGGTATCGACGAAAATTACCCCATGGTAAATGGTATCAGAATAAACATAGTCGATTGAAATGTCTGTAAAAGCGAAATCAATGAAGAAGAAGTTTTTGCCCGCTCAAGGATCTCATCGACACACGCGACAAGGCCATGGTTCAAAACCGAAAATTTCCAATTCCTACGACTATTATAGTGAATTATTGCACTGCCGCAATACTGCTTGGTAGTTTGTTTGGTTCGTGTTTCTATTGCCCATTGCATCGCCCGCCACTATGCTTCAAACGTTGCTAAAACAACTTATACGAGGTGGTCAACAAACCGACAACGCACTGATAACAGGCTTAAATGGTAGGCGCGTCAGCTGCTAATTTGGCTATTATTTACGACGACTACGCGCTCAGAGTTACGAGCGCCGATTGCAGTTTGTCTTTTTCCTTTAAGGTTCAGCCTAGTCAAGCCATTGAATGAATACTCGTATTCTGCGTGATGCTGCGTCATTCTGGTAATTGCCTTGAGGCCCATTGCAAACGTAGTTTACAACGAGAAATACTGAGCTAATGGCGTACCTGCAGTTGTAACTAGCTTAATAGATGGTGAAAAATGGAAGTAGGGAGTTAGCGACGTGAACAGTTTTTTTTTATTAACTAAAACATTATTTTGGATGCAGTAGGGTCTCAGATCTGCTTCTCTGACTGCTTCCGACCTCAATGTAGCGGTAACAGTCGCGGCAGGCCGAGTTAACGTTTCTTCTGATGCTAACGTGGATGAGAAGCAACAGAGGGTCTCCCTAAGTTTTTCATGGTGATTAAAACACAGTCTTAGCCATATGCGGAGGGATAAAGCGTGCTGCTGGTGGTCGTCTTGAACGTGTCTATCAAAGCTAATTTAATCTACTGAGTTTTTTTCCCAAAATAAATGTCGGCAAAACGATAACACTGCTGAACAGTAGAGTGAATAACCAGCAACCACTGCGGGGTGATGAAGCCCCTAGACTAGTCCGAGAACTGTCTGAATCTTATTTCCTGTGTATGGTCCAGCCGCAAGCAGTGCTATCCGATAAGTATTCCGCAATCAGTGCAAAGCTATTTAAGAGGGGTATGATTAGATTTTGTTGTTTTTGCGTCCTTCATAAGTAGTTCTTTTTGTAGTTTTTTTGTAGAAAACTTGCTGAAGCGCCTTGTCGTATTTTACTTAGAGTGTAGATATGCCATTTTTGTTTAGACAATGCTGGTAAGTTATCGGGTAGACCTGCTCAGGTAACAATTGGTATAATATAAGTACAAAATGCTGCGATTTGATTTAAAAGTAATTTACGTAGTTCCTTGCAGTACTAAATGTTTCCTCCTTCTTTTTACTGCATTTGCGTTTCAGGTAACGGCACTATTGACTTTCCAGAGTTTCTCACGATGATGGCGCGTAAAATGAAGGACACCGACTCCGAGGAGGAGATCCGGGAAGCTTTTAGGGTTTTTGATAAAGACGGAAATGGGTAAGTTTTAATATCACCCTATGACACCTGAGTGTACAGCTCAACCGACCAAGCCATTCGCGGATAGCTCTCGATATGCTGCTCTAATAACCTTCCTATCGAGACCTCCTAGTCGTTGGCCCATCCCGGCTTGGGTGCTACCCTCCTCTATTTCTGTGCTTTGAAAAGAGCAGTATATGTGAGTGGGTGCACCGTTGTGAACTACGGGTTATGTCGAAAAGTCACTCAAATGCTGTGCAAAGCCTTACTTTGGTCTTGACTTGTGACTGTCAACTAAGGTCCCTGTAAATACCAGTTAAAGGCGCTCCAAAGTGCTTTCCGTTCCTTTTTCTTAAAAGAGAAGCAAAAGACAGCTTTTTGCTACTCGACTGCCACTACTTAAAGTGCGTCTTTAATACTAAACGTATACAGACATATGTGTGATCCAGGTGATGCTTCATACACTGAAAAGGATAAGTCGTGCTTAGAAAGAACATTTATTTTCGCTGCTAATATTACAAAAGTCACATTGATTTGTTGACCGGTAATACTAATTATCTAAAAGGCTATCTTATGCTCGACGCTTATTTTATGTGCATCCAGGCTTAAAATTTTTGACAAAATCTCAAAGATTCAAGATGGCTGACGATAGGCGAGAGTTCGCAATTTCTTTTCTCGGACATTTAATGGTTTATTTCACCCCATTAGCGTAAGGTGCATGTTTCAAGCTCAAATGCCGTCCATAAGCTGCTTCGATAACTTGTTGAACCCAGTAGAAGGCGAAGTCAATAGTAGATGTTGCAAATGTGTTCTTTTTGTCACCTGAAACATTCACCGTTGGGGCTCCGATTCGACATAAAGCTTTGTTCACCACACAACGAAATTGTAAAGGAATTAATTCGCCTTCCAAACTAACGGTAGGTGAAGTGAATGGAAAAAGAAAATTCGAAAGAAAAACATGATTACTGTTTGACTAACCAAGTGCAAGACACTTACATTGTAATCTCGTATCTGTTATTTCTGTTGCTATCCTTACATACTTCCATACTGCATAATATTTTTTTTATGTCATTCGGCCGTAATCCTGAAGTATCCTTACCCCCTAAAGGTGACCTTGCTCTTTTCGTCAAAGTTGAATAAGCCTTTGGCGACGATGCTACATCGATAGCAAGATGATTATATTGACATGTCAGTAGCGACTCTTTTCTGCTACCACCACTGTTATTTCTCGCACTGTTGCTATATTTATGCGATGATGACGACGCTTGGCTGTAGTCACTACAAAAGGCGTGTACCGGTCAGCCTTTCACGGGCTGGTGCGGTTTTTCCTGTATTTAGTTGACTGGTTAGTGGATAAGTGTAGCCCAGTGTAGCAGTTTTAACAGAGATAGTCCCGGTAAGTAGTGTCGCTTGTTGTATCATGAAAATAATTCGGCTGCATTGCATCACTGCGCGGTTCGTCACCTTCTACAGAGACATCAGCGGCTAATGGGCGGATCGTTGTTGTCTGCTACTAATATTACGTCGGCTGCTATAGCCACTATTTATGTGTGGCGATGTCCAGAGGACCGCTGCAAGGTGCATCCATTCTGCTAGTACTAGTAGTAGTGGGTCCGGCCGTGCTATAGTGCAATCGAGTCGGGGCTAGATCATGATGATAAAAATAAAATGTGGACGAATGTGTTGTCGAAGCCGGCATAAGTTTTGCTGATTTCCTTAATAAACTAGAGGCTATACGGACCAAAACTCAATCGTGGCTGCAGCAATGATCGGCCTTGACCGTATCAAAGTGGTGCTGCGGCGATATTGATGTCGTTCGGCTGGCTTAAACACCTAACATCCGTTCGTGTCGTTGTTTCCATAACTAGTGCTGACGTAGCCAGCTTCGTCTAGACCCACATTTGTTCCTTGCTTTCTCACACACAGTGTGAAGTTATCGTTGGCGGTCCTTTGGCGTTTCTGGGCTAAAGGAGGAGTCACTGACTTTTAGTACGATGAGGGGTGGCTTAGCAGCGAGCACGTTGCCGTGTCAAGTGGTTGTTAAGCCAGCACACGACGCCCACATGATTCGAAGGCAGGGTAATTTAATACAATAATAATTGTAAAAATAACTGCACTTTAAAGGGCATGTGTGACCGCTGACACAATTGTCTTGGTGGAGAACTTGTTTTATTTCTCAGAACTGTATAATGTTGAACGCGGCGGTGGCAGCTGAGCAACGTTAAGGTATTCACGTAACTCTTATTTTGTTGTCGTGGGAGAGTCCCCTCTCACCGAGCTTCACTTATGAGTTGACTAATCGTCCAGACTGAAAGGGATGACCAGTATGCTTGAGTATACGTTGGCACATAACAAGCAGCTACGAATGAAGACAGAACAGAATCGACAGTGGAAACAAAAATAAATGGCTTCATTACAGCGCACCGCTAACTGGAGTCGTCGGATTTTTCAAGCGAACAAGAAGCGTTCCTCGTTCTTTTTGTACGATCCACCGTAGCATTAATGCGAAGTTGAAACCAGAGCCAAGTTTTGTGCCATGCGCTGGAGCAGAAATGCATTTTGCACCCTCGAGGGTGCGGCTCTTCTCCGTTGTTACAATTTAGGAGACCGATTTCGATTCTTAGCAATTTTTATTTTTTTCTTGCTTTCTTCTATATCGAGTTTACTTTCAACTCGTGTGGACAGGCGGTTACAGTCAGCTAGCTGCCCACGCGAATGCAGCGTTTTTAAGGTTTCATCGTTACTATTACCGTTCTAGGCAAAGTGAATAGACCCGGGTTTATGAGGGGCTGGCAGAAGCAGATGTACAGAAATGACAACAGACTTTTCGATAGTGGACGAAGCATTAGAGACAGCGAGGCTTATCAAATTTCCTTCCTATTTCTAAAGTAGTACGACATACAGCAGAAGCGTTAACACGGCGGTCGGGGCAGTGGTCACTTCTCTTTTTACTCTCACATCTGCTTCTAAGCTGAAATCCAAAGCACGCTACCGGCGAGCTGGTCAACAAAACTGGCTAAACGAAGTAAAACAAAAGGCCATACGGCTAGGGCGCATAGACCGCTTAAGTTGGGATCGATAGGACGGATTGCATGACTTAGACGCTATTAGGTAGATAGCGGCATTCATTGGATATAACGCTTTGCGTCGACTCAACGGATTCACGGTCGTTGTCATGATCCAAGAAGAAACCCAGATTCCGTTTAAATATCTAATATTGCCGCATTTTCCTAAAATATTTTCCGGATATCGACATCGTACTATCTTTATATGTGGGTAGTCGGAAAAACTACCGTGTGTGAGTTTGCCTTGGTTTGTAATGCGACTTGGTTAGAGGAAGGTGGCAATTAAGTCCTATGGTGCGATGCTTCTCCTGCTTATTTTCTCGCTCACATATATATATATATATATATATATATATATATATATATATATATATATATATATATCACTTTCTCTATCAAAGAGAGAGGAAAGGAAATCTAGTTATAACCATTCATATTTTAGAAGGTTGTGGCTGTGATGATAATGTCACTGATGACCTTCAACGTCATGATTGTGTTAATCAATCGTGGTAGCAGGCAACCCATTTTTTATAGTGCGAGACTCATTGTTCGTTGAAAAGAAAAGCAAGTTGTCTCTTTCTTTTCCAATGCTAGCACCGTTCTAGCTAGTAAACCCAGTTAGCAGCTGGACTTCATTCATCGGCTCGTCCTTTTGTTGTGGATCCACTGCGGTTGACTGTGAAGGCGTTGTTGTCATGCTACTATTCTGTCATTGACGTTGTGGCAACGCTAATCGTCGATATTATTCTCGACGCGGGATATGTTCTGTGGATTGGTGCTTGATTGCGTTGCTCAACCGTTCCCGCGGCGGTGGCTAATGTTGCTGCGGCTGTTGCCGTGAATCCACTGCTACTTTCGCGTTACTGCTATCGTCAAATGCAAATAAGATGATACATTTTAATGTCATAAATTACTATCATTGTTTAGAAGAGCATAAAGCTGGCCCTTATCGGTCCTGCTGCTAAGCCTGATAGTGTCGCTGTCATAGACACTGCTAGTTCTTCGTTACTATATCGTTGTCATCGTATCTTTCCAGTCCGACGAGTTGATATGGAGATTACCACCCATTGTTCATATGAGGCTTGTTGTTCATTTCTGGTTGCCTGTTTGGCGCGGAAGGCGCCTTTGCGACTGATAACGATCGATTTATATGAATTGAATAGCTGCGACCCTTAGGTCCTTAGCGGTGACGTCGAAATAGGTCGGCCGAGGCGGTGATAAAGGCGGCATCAGTTGCAGCGCGACCTTGCATATTTTGCAACAAATAGCGGCCTATGCAGAACTCAGGCCACTGCTTGCTCTCGCCGGCTCTTCAGCGTTGTAAACGTCGTATCGTCCTTATAGCAGCAGTAGTAGTAATATTCACTTATGAGCTACGGAAGTGTACTTAAAACAATGAATAGATGTTAAAAGCAAGTTGTTTGAGAACAGCTGGGTAGTAGCTAAGCCTCAAGCAAATAAAGATGACGCCAGGTTGTCCTGATACGTCTTGCCAACTTATATGGATGACGAAGAAAGGAGTATGAAGAGCCTGGAACGGGCCTGTTTACGTTGAAAGTACTGTTAAACGCATTAGCCTATATGCTATACGTATGTACGGTGGTATTAGCACATCCTGCATCATGTGTAGATTAGTATGTTTTCCTTACCGTGTGAAGGTCTAAGGAATAGCCGCGGAGATGTAGACTACAGGTTAGGTTAGTGTAGACGTCGAAGATGATCATTGGAGATGATTGCTATCGTAATTTCGTCTTTTTGTTCCGCCTCCAATTGCGGTGGTGGCTAGAGCTCGTATCAGAGGATCGCGTGCATCAGATCGGACAAAATAAAAGGGGATTTGTTGTTGTGTTGTGGATTATTGCTATAAATACCTAATACTATTATTATCCTGTGTATCAGTTGACGCAGAGGGGGCAGAAATGATTTATGGTATATTTCCATGAGTACGATTAGCGCGATAGATGGATGCACAGGTATAAATGCGTTTTCCTTGCTTAAAAAATCTTTGAAAAATACTACAGCGAAGCCATGGCTGATTGAAAGTATAACTGATCAATCTAAGGTATCGCGGAAAGTGATACGAGCCGGAAGGTACCGTGCTCGGTGGTCACGGACTGAAATTATTCTATTTTATATTTTTTAAAACAATTTGCAAAAAAGAATATTTTAGTAGTGCTTTAAATACAGAAGAACAATTTCTATGAAAATGTTTCGTCTTGTTGCAGATATATTCCGTTACGGGAAATCCACCATATTAGTACATTCAAGTGTAAATCTTGGAACTTTACTTATTTTGCTTTTATTTTGTGCGTAGTATTGGTCTATTTTTCAAGAAAATTTAAATAGTCCTATTACGCACGGGCAGCATTAGGACAAGGGCTGTTTCATATAGGCCGAGTATGGAGCTTAGCCCCGAACTGGACTTAGCTTCGCGGAGACCACTACTTGTTCATTTTTAATCTCCTCGTTAACGATCAGTCTGAACGAAGGCGACCCTATACGTAACATTATTATAGTTTCTAATTTTGATTTTGTCCTCTACGTATGTGTCTGGCCTACCTCTTGAAATTATTTCTATAACAGACATGTTCCATTATCACTACACTGACTGAATAAGAATTAGTGATACATACAATTATTAGCTGTACATGTAAAGTGCTACAGTTGTATTTGGCAAGGTTAAAAAATAGAAACGAGAAATCTCCAATTGGTGTTTTCCAGGATTTACGATTGAGGTGGGAACGACATAAGCTACACATATCGGCTGGCACTAACTGCACCTATTTTGATCTGCAGTAATGCGTATTTGCACCAGCAGTCATGCTAGTAACACCAACTAATGTTAGTTGTCATTTTTGGGTTCTTTTTTTGTTTTCCAGTGATCTTTTGAACAATAATGTGACATTGTTTCAATAGCTTCTCATTTGCCACCGCATAGCTCGATCTGCCTCTAGGGCAGTCAAATACGATTGCTGCTGCTGTTGAGGCCTTATCAGTGCTGTGGCACCTATATCTTGAACGGAATTGGCGGCTTGTGTGTCTAAACTGCTCAGTTGTTATTTTGGCACGTTTATAGGCGTAACTCGTGTTATGACCCGGGCACTTTTTTTAGCTAACTTCCGTTATCAAATGCGTATGCAGTCAAACAACTCGTTGTTCTATGCCCATTCAACTACCGATAGTATGACCGCAAACATTTGGCAAACCGTTCTGAAGCGCTGAAGGACAAAAGAATAATGATGATGATAATGCGGTCTTAAATGCAGATACTACTAATTTGTAACTAGTAAGATTTTAACATTAGTATTTAGGCGCTACATATATTCTAAATAGGGTGAATCTCTTCGGTTAATGATTTGTGTACAATATAATTATTATTGAAAACTGTTTCCCGTCCGATTCTATTCCGGCCGATAAGGTGAGGTGATTGCCGTAATTGAACTCCGTAGTGTAGGTGAAATCATAACCAAATATCTAGGAGGATATCATAACCAAATATCTAGGATAAATATTTAGGAGGGCGAAGGTTAAACAAATATTTTTTTCCGTTTGTGGACTGAGCAGGCATTCTCAGTGTTTGCTCCGATGAAAGCCACTGATACCAGCGTGATACTTCATATAAAAATTAAACATTTTCTATTATTCTGATCGAATGTCTCCATTTACAATGGACCGGAGCATTTAAAATTTAGCTTTAATTTTTTAAATTAAACCTCCTACAATTATATTTACAATATGCGGACTTGCATTTCCTAACGATAAAAATACACTATAAAATCTTCTTTATTTCACATTTTATTTTGCGATTGCTTTAAGTAGATTCGACTCGAATGGAAGAGGAGACTGTATGCTTAGAACCGGCGTCATCGCTGGTGTTGATCAGACGCACCAAAACAACGCTTACAAACTATATAAATTCATTAATTCAAACACAAGTAGCAAGGGAAGATTAGCATTAATAATGTTGTCATTAATCATTATTATTATTAAAAAAATCGTGGCGACTCCGCAATGGCGAGCTTCTTACGGATGTAACATTTTGTGCTTGTCCAATAAAGGGATGAGAAGATGTTTGTTTCGCTCACTGCTTTCATTCTTCCGGTTCGAGATCGATGTGACGATTCGCTTTCAGAATGAGATGCTAATCTATAGTTAAACGATAGAAACGATGTGATGAGTCAGATATAGTGCCTGTCGGCGTGAGTGATGTTGCCGGGAACACCAATCTGATCTATTGGGGTGATCTAATGGTGCGCAAGCGAATTTTCGACAGAAGATACAACGTCGCAGCCACCGTTGCAGGCGGGGTCCGTAAGAGAGTTATTGACACCCGTGGCTTTTGAAGGCCGAACGATGAGATTACTTAAGCAGTAGACGTAGGTAGAACCATCATTTGTTTATGATACTCGTACATGCAAGGGTACACGATTCGGTCACACAGAAAATGCATAGTCTACCTTCTCAATTAACCTAAAGACCAAGGAACTTGGAGCAGAGGACTTCAGGTTATAGGCGCGACAGGGACCGCCAAGGACCGACATAAAAACTGATCTGATTCGCCCAACGGCGAAGAACGGGTTGATCCACGAAATACGTATACAACCAGCAAATAATAGAAAAGTTGAAAGAGTGGCACTGGACATAGCCCGGTTTCAGTGTTGTCCCTACATCCAAAGACAAAGCCGATGTTGCGGTCGAAGATAGTAATAGAAGCCACATCTGAGCATTGATGTGGCCAGGCTATAGCTTGCCATAGTGCGCAAGTCTTCCGTCTGCCGAACATGCGCAGAATGCTTGTTTCACCCTTTTCGCCTCGGTTCCTTTTGACCGCAACTGATGAACTTCAATTTTCTATTAAAACTAATATTTTTACGCAATTTGGCTCTGAGTGCTGTTGAGATAAGGGGTGATGCGGTGGTCACGCCAGTTCAGTAACAAAATGTTCAGTTGAACATTGTAAAATAATATTTCTGTTATAATATGTCTGCTCGGTTCAGCTGCCGTTCCTGTAAGGGGCTTTGGCTTCAGGAGCTCCCGCTGTTCCCGACAATAATCTGGAGCTTAACGTATAGTTGCTGGAATAGTTGTTCGTACGGAGCCTTTTACCAAAAGTTCGTACGTTCCGCTTAATTTTAGAGTATTACTATTAAGATTAACATCCTATGACGACAGTAACGGAAAATTGATGATCTGCTTGATGAAAGCAAGCTACAGCTCTGCCAGAGCTTTTAACTGTTTTTGGTTATCACTGCGAAAAACATTACTTTGCCAATGAATCGGGAAACGTCTTCTTTTCAGCTTTTACTATATATCGTCTTAATACGATTTTGTTTGTGTTAGCTAGGCGCAGGCTCTAAAGGTGATTCCTCTTTTGGCAGTTTATTTCACATCTTTGTCCTAATCACTTACATAGGTAATAATTAATAAACCCTTTGGGTAATAATTAATAAACCCTTTGTGATATATGAACACCTATGCGTAATGGCTATATAATAATAACTTAGCCTGCTTTACTGTTATCATTAAGTTTTGGAAAAGAATTAAAGTCAAAAGGGCCACGCGATAAATAGGTACAGCACCAACTTGTTCATATAAGATTACGGGCTTTTTCGGGTACTTATTATTACAAATGCTCATACAAATGATGATTATTTGCAAATGTTTTTGTTTTTTAGCTTCATTTCGGCTGCAGAGCTGAGGCACGTAATGACCAACCTTGGCGAAAAGCTCACGGACGAGGAAGTGGACGAGATGATCCGCGAGGCGGATATCGACGGCGACGGACAGGTCAACTACGAGGGTACGTTAATAGCCCACCGGAATGTATTCGTACATGATAACCGAGTGATCGAGGCATCTACGGTCTTTCTCAAGTCCGTAGCATTTTACACTAATACCCAACTGTTATTGAATTCATGTTAGGCAACGTGTCCCATGTGTTGGTAAAGTACACCGTAAACGTTCTATTCTAGTTTTAAAAAGTACGAGGTAACGTGCCCGAACCATCGTAGATCGAATTTCCCTAGTAATTATTGCCGGCGGATTCTCCGATCTGCTGACTCCATATTCCATATCTGAGACTCCGTATTCCAGAATGATTCGTGAGGCCATCAATCCGGCTTCATATTCTCGAAGTGATATTTATCCTCAAATATCTTTTAGTATTTAACTATTCAACTACGGTATGACTACGTGTTGTTGACTAGTTAGAGATTGACAGTCGGGCATTTGGTCGAGGGACCTCGACACGGAATTATATATAGTACCATTTAACTTTAATGCTCTCCGTCGAAGTACATCAATTCTACCGGATTGAATCAGCTTTACCAAAAACGTAATAAACCCGCAAGGGTCTAATAAGTTTCTAAGTAGATCCGATCTATATCTAAGTAAGATCGTTGAGAATTTATGAAACGACGATGGCAAAAACTCTGCCTCTGCCCAACAGTAGTTTGAAACGCTTCTAGTCGAGGTCTTCTGCCTTTGGCAATTCACTTTAACACTTCCAGCAACCGATTGGCCACGAGGATGCTGATTGACGAGCAGCCTTTGTTTTGTCACAGTGCCTATTGTTACTACGCTTACTTTTGCCGTTGCCGCTGCAGCTGGTGATGTTTAACTGTCGTTGCTGCTGGTGCTGCTGGTATTCAAGACACCGATGTTTCTGCTATTTCGATTGACGACCGTATTTTGGTGAAGGGTGGTAGGGCCTTCTATTTTTCTCGCCAGCTTTTCGACGAACTTTTGTTTCGTTGCAATGCAACGAAACAAAAGTTTGTTGGCGGGAGGGGCAAGTTTGGCTTTACACTACAGCAAAAGAGCTCTCTACGCTGCTACGTATGCCATATTACGCCACACATTTGTTAGATACCCGTTTGGTTGGACTATTCCATCTCCCGCATCTGGCCTATTCCTACGTCTTTGTAAAGAAAAATAGGTGACCAAATTGCTTGGCTTGTTCATAGCTTGTGATCGACGCGCGTTTGGTGAACGGGGACCTGCCACTTGCTGACTCCTGGATGTTGTTGTCTAGTGTCGTAATGGATCCATTGCCGCCACCGTCGTTACGTATTCTGTGGTCGTCGCCGTTTCTCCAGCAAATCGGCCATTCTTTTCCCTGGTTCGCTTGCCGATTGTGTCATCTATCACTAGTTGTTCACCTCAACGTCAGTATCACTGTACAAGTGGGAAAGAACAATAGATAACGCTTTCGTCCTAGTGAATGCGAAAACTGAGCAGCGATAGCGATTTCGGTTAGCACCGCATCAGTCGCTCCTAAACTACTCAGATTATACCACCGCAACGGACGCAGCTGCCGAACTTGCTTCACTAATGTACTTTACTGTAACCGATCAGTCTGGGCCTATTGGAAACTGTTACACCTACCGATGGGCTGGCGGGTCAACTCAATTCAGCACAGAGGCCGCTGTAACCTCCTAAAACACTCGCTCCTTGAAATAAGCCACCATCATGCGAGTAAATGCGCGTACAGGCTACATATGGTGTGCCCGGCTTCATCGCCATTTGACATTGAAACTGTAATACATGCCGCGAATCCGGTAACTCAATGGCACCGACGTACGAGGTCCCTGGCAAGAGACAGTTCGGAGCCAGGCAAACAGCCCTTCAGCGAGGTAGTGATTCTGCAAGTAGAAGACAAACCTCTTCAGTAGAAGTTAGAACTTACATACGCATGTGTGCTTGTGGGCTTGACGACGTCTGAAATGGATATCCTAGCCACTATCAGAATGCAGTTGTAAGCAAGGAGCGCTGGTCTTTCGCTTACTGCTACTATTGGCGAACAATCATCTATGGGAGACACATGTTGTGAGAAAGCTAGTAGTGGTACGTGACCCTTTTTACCCATAGCCAGCGTAAAATGTCGCGATACCGATTATAACAGGAGTCATTTACGGGATCATTAACAGGACCCAAAAGGAGTTTGAGGGATCCGAGGTGACCGAAGGCCTCCATCAGTACAGCGATCTCAGCAAAGGTTGCCGAGGCGAAGTTCAGCCTAAGTTAAAGGGAGGCGCCAACAGAGCGTGTTGTGGGCTGCGCTTCACGAGATTCTGGGTGGGATAGGTGGCACTTGGGTAAACACTGCTGTGTGCAATTATAAATGTGACAAATTACACTTGTGGCCGCAGTGGCCTTGCGGTTCACTATATACTGATACACCCTTGCCATACGCGGCAGAATCGAGACAAAATGGAGGGTCTGATGGGTCGACAAACCTTGAGCGAAAATACGGGCATGTAGAAAGCGTTTCGAAAAGACTTCGCATGAAGTACGCTGCAGAGACGGTAAAATTACAGGTATTTCTTAGTCGCGTGCATGGGTGACAACCGGTTAATTATTTGAAATTCGTTTTTCCCCAAATCAGCTGGTCGATAAAGCCAGCACCCAGAGCCATACATGGAAACCCTCTCAAATCGATGCGATCCATGGTTTATCGACCAGTTAGTGGCTTGGATAGTACTACTGTGTTAAGAGGGTCCACAATAAATATTCTAACCTTTGCGTTCATAGGCGTACGAAATAATATTTATGCATACAAACATGATCGCTTTTAGCATACAAACGTTACTGTACTAATGATTAGTATGTATTACTTTATTATTATTATTAAGTATTATGTATTAATTAGAATTCGACTACGAGCAAGTAGCGTAATTACCTCGTTCATTCACTGTAGAACAGCCATAATTGATCATAATAGTAAACACTATTTAATTCAGCTTACTAGGAAAAACTATTGTTACTCCTGTTATCTTGTGTCCCCTTCAGACTAACGTGGTATTCCTCTATTTTTTTTATCATCAACATTTACAGAGTTCGTCACGATGATGACATCAAAATGAAGGGCTCACTATTGCGCGGGAAAAGCAGCCCAACAAAGAAACCTAGAGTGCGAAAGCGAGAACGTTAAACACGATGATATGCTAATGATAATACATACGACTAGAGGACAGAAAGACAGACAGACAGACTGAGCAGACGAACGGGCAAGTTGAAGAAAAGCCGAGTTGAACTGGCTAACCGTTGGGTACTCATTCATATTCGATAGTTACAGACAACAACATGAAAAACGACAGCAACAATCCGCAACAAACACACGGAGATTGCACACAATGAGGGTAAACTGAACATGGTGCAGCGGAAGTTGGATGGCAGCGGTACACAGTGCTGCTACTGCTGCTGCTGCAAATGCTAACACTCAATAATGATAATAATAATTATAATTATAGAAATATGATTATGTTGTCCAAAAGAGAAACAAACAACACAAACAAAGCTATTAAAAATCTGAATAAAAGCTAAGAAGAAATCAAGTAGCAGTCGACATGGGGAGTGGCAAACGATAAGAGTCCACAGAAAACTGAAGCGGCCGAAAGAAAACACGAGGCAAAAGGCAATGTATTCATTAAGACGAGGGGCAAGCGGAAGGAGAAGAGGTGGCAACAAGAAAATGAAGTGAACTGAAACAGGAGAATTCAGACAGATAGAAAGTGCGCAAGTAAACGGGATAGTGACGAGCAAAAGGTATCAAGGTGATGAAGATGACGAATGTCGGCTGTTGAAGATGGTAAAATGAAATGGAAGCTACATCCTCGCCCAGAAACACAAACAATACTAATGTCAAACGGTGTCAACTCTATCTAGTTTAACAAACAAGTCATCATTTTTCATCAATCCAAATTTAACACAGATGCTTCACATACACTTACACACACATACACAGGTGCACGCGCATACACACAGATACATACACAGAAAACAGTAACAATGGCAACGATAACAGCAAAAACAATCAAAACAGACTATTACCACAGAGATATGATTGCGATAATGCTACTGATATGACCCCCAGGAAAAGAGGGCAAGGCGGAAAAGAAATTCGAAAAAACGAATGCAAAAAATACGAGGGGAAGCGGATACAAATCACAAAAAATGATGATCGTTGACTGAAGCAAAAAAACAAAGCAGGACATTGCAAGGGTTGGTCAGCTGGTGTATAATCGACGGAATAGATTCTTTAAAATTGAAGACGTCGTTTATTGTGATTAAATAATTTACGTCTTATTTGTCGCCTTTACTACAACAACAACAAAACGGGCTGGAGAGTGGCTCGCTCCAGAAGCGGAATCGCAAAAACAGCAAACTAACAACAACAACAACAAACACCAACGAAGTTGGGAAAAATCCGTCTCGTATAAATCATCCATTAATATTTACTATAACCATCGTAGGAGTCAATTATGATTGTTATTATAGCTGATTTAATGAATAGCGAAAAAGCAACGGAAGAAGCAGTAAAAGGAGGCAAGTGAGCACCAAAGTCACGAGGGTGAAGAGGAGTTGACATACGGAAAGAAAAAAGCGGACGATTAGAGGATGTAGGTTCCGATTATGATAAGGTGATGCTAATTAATGATATTATCACTACAGTACATTGTCATAATTATGAACAAGAGACCAAATTTTTCTCAAAATGATGATTGCAATAACAATTATAATATGATAGTAATAATAATTATGACGCCAATGTCATCAAAACAACAGCAAGAGGTAAAACCCCTATACAATAGCAATGCTGAAATGGCAAATGACGAAAACCAAAAACCCCATAGTGATAATGATAAAATAAATCCTTGTTGTTGCCTGTAACAGCGATAATCCAACATCTGTCACATTTTTTTTTTGTAAGTTAGGAGAAAAATGATGAAAATTGCAGTCGGCTGAAAATTGTTGTTGCGCGTACGTGGACGGGCGCAGTACGATCATGTGTGCTCGCGATGATTCGTCGTTAACGAAAAAAGTTCATATAGGAAAGTAAACACAAAACGCTGAATCATACTTTCAACACAAATAAACAAAACCACTAAACGATACAATTCCGCGAAGAAGATATCTCGACATTTGTTAGATAAATAATCGATGATAGATAGGCAAAAAACCGACAAGGAGATGGAAATCAATGGCCATCTTCTTTTCATTCCACTTGAAGCCGGCCAATTTTCGGCCTACAGCTCTTCTTGCAAAATAGTGCAACAATATGGAACTCATCGTGAAACATGGATTTCCCGTTTCATACTATACTAGTACTACGACAGCATAGCGTTTACGAATGACAACAATGTTGGTAAATATTGTAGTATGAGAAAAACAGGTGTCGTGTAGTTAAGCGATTGTGATTAATAACAGTGGTTGAATATGACGAAAAAGCAAACAGAAACCGAAGTCAGGAAGAGTAATTAATGTCGCCCCCATTGCGTATGCGTGCGAGCAATTTATACATTATTATTATAATTCTGACAATGACAGCGTCGTTACACCGAGTCTAATCATTCCATCCCATTTGGCTTTACTACTATCGTATCATGACTGTTATTATTGTTATTATTATTACAGTTTCGATATGCGGTTACCGCGTGTTATTATACATGCTACATACTATAAACATACAACAATGACAAAATATATTTGAATATTTGAAATAAATGAAATCTCTCTGTCACTGTGCACAGTCAAGTCACTCTCTACTGCCTGATTCTGACTCAATTAGCCTAATCTATGTTTTGTTCTCCTGCGTGCCTGTCCCCGTAATGAGTTGGACGTCTGATGCCTGAATGGCCGTATAATTGTTGATTGGTCTTCAGGGTTCGTTCCTTCTCTAAGCGGGGTCTCCTTGCGCAATACCACCCGATTACAAACAGAAATAAAGAACAATGAAGAAATAAAGATGAACGAAATGGAAAGATGAACTACTACTACTACTACAGTACCAACTCTAATAATAATAATACTATAACATGTCGATACCGGCAACACGCATGAACAGACATCAACCTGCAGCAGCAACAATGACAACAGCAACGTCTGCTGAATGAGCAGCAGCAACAGCAACAGCTTAAAAAGATGGCGCGCAACGTCGTAGTTGAAATCAAAGCAGACGAAAAAACAAAACAGACTTGAGCGCGGATGATGGTGGTGATGATGATCATCGTCATAATACAATGCTTTCTTGCCAAGTAGTCAATACCATACCGCTACTACTAGGAGAAGTACTGCACCGCTACAACCTTTATTATGAGTACATCTCTAATGGAACTTCTTCTTTTTGTATGACTATGGCTAGCGTCATTTAGAAGATAAGTACGAGAGTGCTGATGATAGGAGAAATGATGTTAGGAATAACTGTCAAGACCGATTAATGCAAAACTCGCCAGTGTTCTGCGACGACAACGTGTCGAAGAGGAAGGCAACATCATCTGGCAGGGGAACCCTAGGCAGCCGACAACAAATACGAAGAACTCAACCTGTATACGAGCAAAATTCCAGTGTCACCCGTGATATACGTGATTACGCTAGCTCAAATTGGCTATGTCACTTGTCACAACATTAGTAGCCAGTAGGAGTGATATGACAAAAACAACAAGAACTGCATGAACGAAACGTGTAAATTGCCAGCTCACTCTATTCTGTTCATTTACTTATATGTATATGTTTATCGTTGTTTAATAGATAGGTATATAAACATTTATTAATACATAATATATACGCAGTAACGTTTTCGGACCTCTTTAGGTGATTCTGCTTCTAGCTGGATAAACAATACAGAGCAATCTAGGGAAGATGGCGTTGCGGCGCGAAGGAAGTGGGTAAGGGTGACGAAAAATAGGGATTTAATATAAGTTTAAAGTTTATTTTCGGATTTTTGTTTTGGAGCTGTGAACAAATGGCCCTTTACGGTGCGTCGTTATTTTCATTTAATTTTTTCAGCCGAGGGAAGATCATTTTAACAGAACTATTGATGCTTCAATATTTAACGGAAGAATGACTGCTGAAAATATAATTCTATACCTATACGCGACCTAGAAGACACCTGTGCTCCGGAAGCTCTTCAGAAATAACTTAATACCAACCCGTTAGTGCTTGATTCACATCGATGGGCGACTGTTAAGCCAAATCTCTCTCCTTTGCAATTATTTATGAATGAACAGTAACATAAAAATTGTCTGTGGATTTATGTTCAAGTAAATCTTGTACAGTGCTAATAAAGAAACGGTAACGATTACCTAAGCAAGCCACACAGTGAACACTAATAAGCGTGACAGTGGGCTTAATTTAGAAAATGCTAGATAGATGGCTAGCTGACAAAGTATTACCTAGCATAATGAATACTCTAATGATAAAGGATTCGGCCAAAAAACGTAAAAGCGAGGCAATGTTAAAAATGAAAATAGCACTTCTATTTGGACACGGTAGAGCAGCTTTGCCAAAGACATCAAAAACTGGTGATAAAGGGATATGGAAACTGAATAGGGTCGCCTAAGAGGGACCCCTGCCTCTGGGCCAGCGTCGTAAGTCATTCTAGATAAAGAAAGAAAAGACACCATACAGCAAAAAAATACAAGAAAAACTAAAAAATGATAGACGATGAAGAATCAAAAGTCAGCAAAAGAAGACAAAAATTGTTCACAATAACAACAATAGCAACACCAACAACAACGACAACAACGACAGCGACAAACTGTAATGTATAAACATGATCGATCATTCCTTACAAACAGCTTATGAACAGTAAACAACTTGAAAAAACACAAAAGCATCATTACAAAAACGAACAACAACCTTACTATGAAACAACAACGCTTACTACCAATAAATTGTCCATCATTCTAATCGGCAAAAAACTGCAGTGTATTTTCTTATTCTATAGATAACTAGCATTAAGGATATACAATTATCCAAAAAAAACTCTTATTCTAAGGTAAACTGCCAGAACAGAGCGAGCGACAAGTGTATGTTGAAGCACACTCATTACGTCTCACATCTGTGAGGAAAGACAGCACAATTAACTGGTGCGACTATTGTCTTCGTACGATCGAGCGCTTGACCGATCTTAACCATCGTATGACGGCAGCAGCGCCATGTCTCTTGCAAACCGTGCGTCAGATATTTAAAAGGACGAGTTTCTAGTGATTTTTACCCTCTACATATGTTACCTAACACATTAGCTGAACTTATGTGCACTTATATTATTCACTTATCTTATTATTATGCTACAAGGGGATCTAGTATAACTTGGATGGACAAAGTTAATCTGATATGGTACCCATTAGCCTTACTACTATTAAGATGTACATTTTTGTTCCTTGAGTGTTGCGTTTGAGGATTACTTTTAATTTTCTACGGGCACAGTTGGACCGTATTTATGACAAACACGTTACATGAAGGAAACAAACAGTCGAACTACAAAGCCGCAGGCTCCTAGTGTGATCCAATTTCGCTACCATGTTATATAACGATGAGTGTTTGTTTTCTAACTTATTGTGCGACAGGCAGAAGACCTAAACACTTCTTTGAGTCGGCGCATGATGTGAAAAACGTCATATATATATAAGGTGCGACATCCTAATTTGGACTACTTTCGGCTAGTTCTTTGCCGTAGCGGGCATGCGTCCATCTGTTGTTCTTGATGCCAGAGGAAAGCAATGCGCTACTTTTAAAATTTGAGCGAAGATTATGTATTATTTAATCCTCTCGCACTAGATGAACATCACTTCGATAGTAAACGTCACAATAAGACGGACTCGAGAATTGATCAATCTAAAGGTGTATTTTTGGCAATGTTTTTGTAAGGAAGTTAACGAAGAAATTTGGTATGAATAGAACTATCATGTCGCTGATTGTTCGCGAAGAACATCAGATAGATGCTCTTTGATATTTTCAAACGGTTTTTGCCCTATGAAAACATCATTGATGTACTATAAAGACATCGGCAAACATTTTCAATCTGCTGACAAATGATGTGATATGCAAAAGTGGCATATCGTCATTTAGCGATGGCAGACGTGATAGCTTGTTGTAATTGGATTTCAGCGTGTTTACTATTTACATTTCGTACTAATATCTCATACTGTATGCAGTCGGCAGCTTCTGTCTCACCATTTAACACGACTGTCGCCGATGCTGAACAGCTAAGCGGTGGTGTTCCAAGTATTTTCTTCAAAAAATGCGCCAAAAAAAATGAAACCAAAAGAACCTCTTTGCTGTTGTTCTTTTCACTGGTAACCCAAATGTGTCGATAGAGAAATCGGCAATCGTCTTCAAACCGCTGACAATGTGACACAGTTCCGAATATCAGTACTTCATAGTACCCCCGCTGGCAGCGATAACTGCCACCGCCACTCCTTGGGGCATGATTCCGTCGGAGTTTTTCGCTGCTTCAGCTATGGATGGATCCTGCTGCCATAAATTAGTGATTTTTCACAGAGACCTGAAACATTTCTTATTTCCTATATTTCTCCAATCAGTAATTTTACGATTTTTTAGACGTCCTCTATGGAATTGAGGCCTGCCGAACTGGCAGCCTATGGTATTATCTGAACATTATTGGCAGTGGGTAGCCTAGAGACACTCTGATCTCTGTGACAAGGCTCTTTATCGTGCGTCATCAGGGTATGATATTTACCGTTTCCGCAGAATCTTGTTGTCGATAACGTCAGCATTCCTGCTGCCCTAGTATTATCTGCACGATGTGTATTATCCCAATGCCTTTACCGAGATTTATATACCAAATGATGACAGTTTTCAGAAAATCGTTCGTCAACTCGTCTTAAGGCATGATAGGTGTTTTTTTTGGATAACTTCAAAGTGAGATTCATCTAAGAAACAGTTTTTTTTTCCCAATTCTCGATGGTCCAGTTTTTTTACGCGCTATGAGGACGAGCATGTTTTATTCGAACATTCAACTGATTAATTAATGAGTTCGTGATTAAATACACGGTTGTCTCGCACACTAACAAACATGGAACATGCAGTTTCGCCTTGTATGCATTTTTTGACGAAATACTCTGCTAGTTAGTGTTTTGTGCTTCTTAGTGACGTGTTTTCTATCTAATTTCAACACTTCTATACAACACGTATAAAAACACTTATCAATGTTATATCGTTTGTGAGCGATTTGAGAGTGTTCGCCGTTGCCGTTATCGACATATGGGGTACCACTGTAGAGTAGAACAGTGTCGCTTCGATACGGTGAAACCCGTTTGGAAATATCTCGCTTTAGTGCTGCACTTAGCGTTAGAAGTTTAAACTATTTGATTGAGCTGAACTGAGTCCGCTTGATGGCCCTCATCATAAGGATCCACTCAAACCGAAACTTCTTTCTTCAAGTTCTTGCCAAGAGTAAAAAAAATTTCAACGACATTTTTGGTGTAATTTTGGCTAAAATGGTCACTCTTGACAAGCTCGTTTACGAAAGGTAACCTCCGCTCACTTTAGTTACAAATTCGATTAAAGACCCTACTTAATTCATTATTTCAAAATATGCCTTCTTTTATCCCGAAAGAACTTTTCAATAGTAACCGTGCATCAAGCTATACCGGCGAATCTAGCGGAGTATCACTCAAACGCACTGTACAAAGAGCACAAGTCTCAAAAGAGCTAGCTGTTAGATCTCATAAAACCGATAGCTAATGGCTTTTATTTTCTCAGTCTCATCTACATGCTCCTTGGAATGAGTTTTCCGCTAGTAGCACCAGTTTTAGATAAGCAAAATTGTTGCGAAAATCTGCGTCAAGTTGACTGACCTTGTGTTTATAATGACCTTATTTACATAAATTCAAGATCAATCCTTGAATCAATTAAGAAAATTGTTGAGGTCGTAGAGCTCAACGATGGATGTATTTTTTATAATAGCGCTATGGAGGGTCAGCATTTATCTTACTGCTAAAAACCAAAATGTTAAAAAAAAAAAGGATTTTGCGAATACCATCTCGTGATGTATGTGATTGTATGATAAACGTTACCTTAATTAAATAAGTGAGAACATAGACTCGAAAGGAGTCTGCTTTTTTTATTGCAGCTGGGTTGATCAAAACAACTAACAGTAACAATAGCTCAAATAATGGATAACTTCAATCCATGACTTTCAATGACGATTCATTGTTTAGCAAAAATCAAAAAGCCTCAAAATCGTCTACATGCCTGGGACACCAAGAGTATCTGCGTGTAGCCACAGGAAGGTCAGTAAAGTGTGCGAGATGTCGCTACAAACCTCAGTTATATAAGCTAATGTAATCAAATTTTCCCAATGCAATTACGAATTTCAGAAGTGGTTTATTTTAAATTAGGTTATCCATTGATATCATTAATTATCAAAATCAGCGTTAACCATAACACAAGTTTGATACCGACGAAATGGAATGAGACTTCTTTTTTAATAATGTTATATATTTCCGAGGCTGTTTTCGCTGTTGAATATGGTCCGGCCGATGAAGCCATCTAATTCGGTACATTTTGACATTGTTGAATGCACCTATTATAAATGCGAGAGCCGGAGATCGTCGGATCATCTAAAGAGCCCATTGCTTGATCACTGCAGCTGCCCGACCTAGCAAGTTCTGCTATATATATACAACTGAAAAGCGTACTTCTTCAAATATCTGGGTCAGTATAAATCGGCCGAAAATATTCGATATCTCTGAAAAACTTATACGGTCCTTCCTGGTTACTACTGACACTTGCATTACAATTAATTTGTCCTTTATCAAGTACCTGTCGAGACATTAAAGGGAAATCTAGCTCAAATATTGAATCCGAAAAACTCTGTCGAAAAATTCAATTCTTCGTTAAAAAGGTGGTAAGGTGTTTCGTCTCCCACATAATAAACCTTTTGCCATTTCATCCATCCCATTGGCGTTTACATAGGACCAGATTAAAAAAGGAAAAATTTAGCTTTACGTAGATCCTCCTATACCTTAGGTCATAAGAGAAAGTGTCTAAGTAATTTCATCTTAGTGGGAAAAATCAACTGCGATAAATTAAACCTTTTCATTACCTTCTTTGTAACTACTGGCTATTTTAAATCAACTGATCTAAATCAACTAAAATAACTATTTAATGAAAGTCTATACTTCTTTTTTCAGCATATACGTCCTCCACCTTTTAATCGAAATATTATTATTTTTCGGATCACCTACTTTCGGAGAAATTATATCTGTCAATTATTTTTTTCCTGCTAATTTATAGCGGTGGATCAAACATTGACAAGGTCCAAGGTTGTTTACCCTTTTAACCCACGACTTTCGCCTTGTCATTGTAGAATCGCAAAAAGCAGATGAGTCAGGGAGAGGATGTCTTGTGAGACAGACCTTTGTCAAAAGGTCCAAAAGAAATCACGCAAGTTCTTGGTTTAGCAGTTCTGTCTGGACAGCTTTGTCACAGTTTGTTCTTCCTGGAAGTTAACATTATTACCCATAACTAGCATGCCAACAAGGCTACTCTTGAAAAAACATTGTAGAATTGCAAAGGTTACTGGTCTAACACTATGATATTTAACATAATAATCGTATAAGTAATTAACTAAATACTACTTTTAATCTATTCAATGTGTAATAACAACAAAGTTTTTCAAACAAACGTATAAATTCATAGCTTCGAACACAGTGAATACGAATCAGCAGAAAGCATATGTTGATTGGCTAACATCAATCGGTGCCACTAAAAACTAATAACCTATTAACAGTAGATGAAGCAGGCGGCTAGAGATTGGGAGGAATTAAATATGATATGAACCATGTTGTGAGACAGTGGAAGCATGATTATCAGAAATACAATTACTTAACATGACAATTATTTAATGACCGATTCATCAATAAGGACTCACAACCTATACAAACAATTCGAATCCGATTCATCTCGAGAAAGTCGAACACTTTCTGCTTTTGAAAATTCATTCCCTGAGCGATAAAAGACATGTTGTCCCTATAGAGTATCTGGAATTCTTGTACATTGAACTAAAGTTTAATGCGTATCTATTTAAATGAGGGTCGAGTGACGATAACAGCAAGCGCAAAAAAACATTTCTATCTCATCACAATTACGTACGTTACGAAGTGCTAGTGGATTGTACTCGCCGTATCTACATATGATGACTATCCTGATAAGGCTAATCTTCTTCAATCCAGCATTAAGATTAACTTGGCAGCATCAGTAATTTGACTCTTTGTAGTATTTCTTACCTTTGACGATTTCATTGGCCATCCCATTCATCCACCGATTTTATATTTATAAAAATTTCCCGATAACAATTACGTGTAGGCGCCTTGTTTGCCACTATTGCTACTTGTGTTTGCAAAGGATCTATTTTATTAAATATGCTTCCGAGCGCGTTCTAGTGTACCGAAAACTACACTACCAGAGCTGATATGGAGTGCACTCACGAATGACTTTGTTACTCGAAAATGAGGTCGTTCGTATATTTCGTTTGCAACTGGTGCCGACGATACCTCTTGTCGCTTTGGAGATCCCTCAGGAATGCAAAGGAAATGATAGCTTTTTCAGACTCAGCATATCGCATTTTGTCTGTGAGTTGGAGCATAAGCCCCCTCGTTTAAAGCAACGGGGCTTGTAACGGCTATTTTCGATACACTGCTTGCAAAGATTATTATCCGTCCAAGATTAAACTGTTCTATATTCTGCTTGTGTACGCATACAAAACGGATTTAAATCCGATTAGCGACCCTTTAGATCCGGACACCAGCTCATTCATGGAATCATCAGGAAATATGAGGATTTCGGTAAGATTAAAGTTTATTTTTTAGGCTGTCTCCATTGCGCAGTCCGAGATAAAAACTCGATGTGCACGTATGTGCTATAGTAGTATATATAATTACATCGCATCAGTATGCATAGTTGATCATATCAAACCCTGAACAGCTGCGTACAGCCATCTGGGAAGAACCGAACTGAATAATAAAATAATGTGAACTTATTTGAAAGTGTTGTTCACTACAATAAACAGGTTAATGCTGCTTCAGCGGGTAATTGAGTGCATCAATAATAGCTTTGTCGTTACTGAACGTTACAAAATGAGTTTATATATCACATCATATAGCAATTAGCGAAAGGAGAAACATTGGTAGGTTAAGGAGTTGAAAGCCAGCCTCTAGCCGAGTGTAAAATTTTGACTTCTGTTTTGATTAAATCATAGTACAGCAGCTGGTTTTTTAACTGTTTAAACTTGTTAAAAAAAAAAAAACTGTTAAAAAGTCGCGAAAACGCTAATGCCACCTGAAAATAGGATAGTGCGGGACATCCTCTATCACTAAAGAGACGTACGTCTCGACCCCCAAAAGAATGAAGCCTTAGAACTGGTTTGGCATTACCTCAGTCAGTCAAAACGTTCATTCTTCCTCGTCGGCATCCGTCACAATGACCTGCTATCGCCAGCCTGAATACCTTCGAGGCTGCTGCTTAGCATTGCGCCGGGTATCCTGCTTCTCGCTACCCATCATCCCTTAATGACTATTCCCCTATTCGTCACCTAGAGACTCGCCCGGTAGGGGTCCAGCAACCCTTACCCTTTACGGCGTTGAGAGCTCCCACCTCATTCGTTGGTCGGGTACATATAGCAGCTGTGTGTACACCTGTGATGACCAGAGATGGCAACATAGAAGTAGCGTATAATGATTCTTCTTTGTGATTTCACTACTAACCCAGTGATAGTATTTGATATGGCAATGATACCTAACTAGTGTGCAAAGTTAATGCAGTTAGTTATACAGTAGCTTTAAATAGGACACAATCATTTTTTGAAACCTTCACGTTTTGTTCTGAGATATTTTGATATAACTGTTGTATCTTCCATTGTCCCAGCGTGCAATTACGTGTAGACACAAGATAATCAACGAAATAGAAAATTCCGACGTTCGTATCCCATTTTGCGAATTACCGTACTTCTTCAAGATTATCAAATATATATTTGTTGACGCGGTGGTCATGGTTCGGTTATCCTATTGCTCAAATATTCATGGTCGTAACTAATAGTTAAAAATTTCCAATTTTCTTTATAAAAATATTTAAAAAAACTAAAATATACTTCGTTATATATACACTTCAATGAGACGCTGCTATTTACTTTTTGAATGTTTCTTTATGTTGAATGACGCAACCAAGAGCAATTAAAATGCCAAATTTTCGCGGAACGTACATTCTAACACCACTGAGTTTTTATTTTTCGAAAATATTAAAAATCATGTATAGCGTATGCCAAAAGGCGTTTTCTACAACAGAAGGGCTGGAGAAAGGTCAACCAGCGTATTTTCGGATTTTTCCAACAAAAAAATTACGCCATGCTTATGTTCACCAGTGTACCTGGTTTAGATCATGTGGCAGAGTAGCGAAAAGGAATCTGAGTGATATGATGTTTACAATATAATTCATATATACTATTATATATATATATATATATATATATATATATATATATATATATATATGAAGCATCAAACATGCATGATATATGCATTAAAATACGACCTTCAGTGACTGCCAATATATATAAATATAATTATATATACTGGCATTATACTATTCATATATATGTGTTGTGCATGTTTGATACAATAACGTAGGTTATGACAGTTTCAATGGAGTTACCTATTCAACCAGCGCTGTCTAAAATTTTACGAAATAAAAACACAAATGAATATTGGTCACTCGACCTGGTGGCGGCTGAAGCAATACTGAAATTGTTATCTTAGTTCAATGGAGATTATGCATCTACCTGTGAAACTTCTTTTGGTGATCTAAGTTATAGCAATGGGGCTGACCGCACGTATTTAACGCAGTAATTAAGTCCAAAAGGCCCCAAAGCTGAAAAGCTATGAAGCGGTCCAGGCCCAGGGTCACCTACAGACCAAAAACCAGTAGCGTTCGCATTTTTGATTCAAGTTAATTTCATTGGATAAATGCAGCACAGATTTGATCAACAGGCTAGAAGTAGCTATTAAACATGTGTCTTTCTTCATAAATGCTTCTCTATTAGCTCTACCCTGTTCTTACAGTTGTTTTTCTTTTGTATGTGCGATCACGAAACAATTTCTGTGAATTACAACACTTTATGCTAATTTGCCAATAAATGCATAACATACGCGCGCACAGTTGAATATGAATATTTTCCCTGTTTTGTAAATATGTTCTTTTTAGAAGAAAACTATAAGTCAGAAATAACAACTTACAGTTGCTAAAAATCATTTCAATAAAAGATGAGCAAAAAAACCTCTGAAGTCCTTTTCTTTTATGAATTGTTTTAACCATTATCAGTGTTTTCCAAATAATGCAAGAAGATGAGCAGAAGAATCTCTGAAGTCCTTTTCTTTTATGAATCTTTTAACCATTGCCAGTGTTTTCCAAATAATGAAATTGTCTTCATTTCCTAGTGTTATCTATAGCCGCTATCATCAGCGAAAATCAAAGCATCAAGATGCACCATACAGTTCTTACAAATTTAACATTCGATTTTCAAAAACACGTCCTCGAGATGACAAGCCACGTGTTCTTTGTCTTTCAATGCCATCTAAAACCATGAAAATAAGTCACTTTTTTCGATTATTGTTATTCTTAAATTATATGCGAATCCAAGCACATCCACAGACCCGAAACAATGGGTGTAACTGAGCTATATTTTATTTTGCGCTAAACACCGATCCTCCCGCTAGGCGTCATTTTCGCTGCGTTACACGTTTCTGCGCTTTCCACGCACTGGTCCGTCAGTTAGCACCTTGTCATCCGCAGAATAACTTCGATGAATGAGGAGAAAAAGTCCAAAGCGATGTCAGTGTACAGCGTTACGGCCTAGTGGTGGCTGGCCAGTGGATCAAGAGTCCGTTCTCAGGCGCCTGTGATTTTCTTAGTAGCAGCAGTAGCAGCGTGGCCCTCTCTGGGTGGGTGCCCGCCCACCCGCCTGTCTGTATGTCTGTCTGTGTATCCAACTCTCCGGGTCTTTCTATCTGTCTGCGGTGTGCCTGCCACCGTACCGTTAGCATCAGCCATCCTGAACGACCGGTTGCAGCTGAGCGACGGAGGAATTCTGTTTATTGCAGCAGTGCCGTGCCGTACTTACATCTTCGTGTTTTTCTCAGTGCAGTGGTGCCGCCTGCTTTTGGTGTCCTGCACAATCTCCATGACCGCTATCGACTGCGACGAACATTCTGCAGCAGAAGCATTAGTCAAAACCGTGAGTGAGTGGGAATCGAAAGTAGAACAGCACTACCAAGGGGTAGTGGCAATTAAACAGCAGAAATAGCAGCGCTAGCAATTATCAGCAGCAGGAACAGTATCAGTGAGGTGAAAAAATCTGAGTGGGCCTATGCGCTAGTCACCCGGCAGGCAGAGCTGCGTTACCAGAGGCCTGTCTGTCGATGAGCCAATATTGTTGACGTGGTTGTTGTTGTTGTTGTTGTTGTTGTTGTCGTCGTCGTCGTCGTCGTCGTCGTGGTCGTTATTGTTGGTCTTGCTGCTGGCACGGCCGCTTGATACCTGGCGGAGGGTTCCTGCTTCAGCGCGGTTAGGTCGGGAGGCAGCAGTTGACAGAACGCTGGCAGGAAAGTGGGTGAATCCGTGGCACTGTCTGCCGTGTGCGAGCAGCTAGGATTAGGCATCACAGCGTCGGATCGCAAATGGACAGTAAGTCGGAGTTAAAACTATCGAATAAAGAAGAACTCTTGTCAAGGGGAAACACATCGAGCCATACGTGGAGCATGTATTGCCTGTCTGAATCTGCGTTTTTGCCACGTTACCAAGTTGCCAAGCCGGTTAACGTAGAAACGCCACAGCTAGTTGCCCAGACTAAACAGGATGCGGTGCGTTTTGATAGCTAGCAGCTAGAGCTAAAGGAGAATCAAGAATAGTAGTTGTGGTGATAGCAGCAGCTGCCGGTATCAACAGCCATCTGCGGGGATATACAAACATAGAACAAATAGAAATACTGGGCTGTTCGTTTTGTCTCACGCTTTAGTAGTTGTAATAAGTTTGATTTGATCGGCGATCAATGTAGCGAATCATCGGGAAAACTGGAGCTGGCTACCGTTGCCTGCCTTGAAAGGAGTGGCTACCAATATACTCACACAAACATTAACTAATTAACCGGAATGCCTGGTCGTTATGGGGCGAACGGGCATCTTCCAGTTTTGTTGTTGGTTTTTGCGCAATAATGGCAATGGCAGCAGTAGCTGTAAGACACGAAATATTATGCTACTGTCCGTACTTCCATGTTCGTGTGCGGCGAAGCTTTACGCTGAAAAAGAAGCCAATAGAAAGATATAAGCAACAGGACCGTACAAGCAGTAGAAATTACATAATAATGATCTGGTTTTTGACTTTATGGGGTTAGCAAAACGCCAAACGTTTATCTAATAGAGCGGGTACAATCATTAACTTGAATGTTCCGGCTTTCATTAACACAGTTATTTAAATACTTGAATGAATAACGTGCCTAGCAGAAGTGCGTGTTCACCACAATTAAGATCATTCATAGAGAAATGAGCAGACTGACATCGCTCGCAATCTTCCGGGATTTTTTCCCCTTTTTTTTATCAGTATATTTATTACATTATTATGCAAAGGAAAACACGTTTGCCGAACTTTTTACGGCAAATAATTTCCCGCATTTCCTCTAACTGTCTCTCCCTCGTATATCTCACCCCCTCCAGCTCCCACCTCGAGACTCCCGACTCCCCCCTTACCCTTGCGTTCTGCTTGTTGACTGACTTTGCCCCAGTGGCTCACACGCACGAACAACGCAAACCCTCGCTAACCTGGTTAAGCAGAAAAGTGTTCTAGAAGATGGTTCAACGGAAGCCGGCCAATTGCACTTGACCCTAACTGTTACCTACCTGCTGTTGGCCTTCTAACTGGCTGGATGTATCGCCAGCAGCAGTAGCTGCCTCGTTGTTGTTGCTAAAGCCAGTCCGATGGCAGAATTTATGTAGAGCTTTAGCTCTAGTTAATGGCTTTTTCTTTGATGCAAGGGGTAACTTCAAACAGTAACTTCACTAACGATAGTCGCCCGGTTTGTCAAATCTCCCCGTAGCTTTCTGCTGCTGCTGAGGCGACGGGTTTGTCTGCGTCGACACTGAATCTGCTTCGGTTTCCTAACTGTAGTTGACTGGTGACAAAGGATTCACACGCTGTGGTTTCTCTTTTCCTTAATTCTATCTGTGTTCACTGCAGCAGTTGTTCCGGTGGTAACTGATACTTTAGTCGTGTAAATTTGGCCCCGAGCGCCATCCCAACTATTGAACGAAGATAATCCTTGTTATGGGTACGGGCCGCTCTCCAGCAATAACGGCTCTGCTGCTTGTTTCCGTTTTAGTCTCATCGATGATCGCTGCTACAACAATATCATCTGTAGGAATGTTTCTAGTATTGTTATCAGAATGATTATTGCTAATATACGTGGTGCCGCCGGCCTCGATCAGAGCGGGGTTACGATCGGCGCGGTGATATCTGGCTTGAATCATAGTATCGTTTTAGGTGAGAGTAACTCGGATGGTTGTGATCGCAGTGAGGTATAACTAGATTGAAAATGACCATATCCTTGCCACCATGCTATTGTTTTTTACATTTTTCTCTGATCATGGCCGTCATCGACCTATGCAGCTAAGAAACGAGACACCGGTTGACTAGACAAAAAGTACACCAAATACCATTTTCTTGGAAATTGCACTGTTACTCTCGATGACACATCCTCAGCCGCCTAGCAAATGTCAAAACAAAACTGCGCTGCGCTTTTTCTATTCGCGTATGATCGGGGCAGATGACAAAAGGCTTCTCTTCAAGTATAAAGGCAAAAGTGGAAGGTGTCAAAGATCGAGAGAAACGCGATTTCGTCAGTGACGTTATTGGCTGCGCTCGTAGGAACAAAGACGAATGACTGACAAAACAGTCAATTACACTTTTATAGAAACATGTATAAGCAGTATGTATCATTTTCTGCTACTTGTATTTCTATTAGCTTAACGGTCTTATTGCCTACTATACTTTTCTGTTGGCTTCTTTTTCAGCGTAAAGCCCTGCATAAGTCGGGGCTAAAACCATCGAATAAAGAAGAACTCTTGTCGACGGACAACACATCGGGCCGTACGTGAGATATGTACTACCTGTCTGAATTTGCGTTTTGGCCACGTTACCAATATGTCAAGCCGATTAACGTAGAAGTGCCACAGCTGGTTGGCGAGACTAAAGAGAACGCGGTGCGTTTCGATGGATAGCAGCTACATAGACAGCGGTAACAGCAACTGCCGGCATAAACAGCCATTTGCGGGAATATACAAATATAGAACAAATAATAGAAATACTGGGCTGTCCGTTTCGTCTCATGCTTTAGTAAAGTCACGTTTGATTTAATCGGCGATCACTGCAGCAAATCATCGTGAACGCTGGAGCTGGTGATCATTGCCTGTGTTGAAAGCGGTGGTTACCGATGTACTCAAACAAATATTAGCTTATTAACCGGGGTGGGTGGGACGCCTGGTCGTTATGGGACGAACTGGCATCTTCCAGTTTTGTTGTTTGTCTTTTACGCAATAATAGCAATGGCAACGGTAGCTGTAAGACAGACGAAATATTACGCTACTGTTCCTGTTTTCATATTCGTGTGTGTTGATATTCTATGATGAAAAAAAAGCTAACAGGAAAGTGTAATAAGCAATAAGACCGTTAAGCTAACAAGAGTACAAGTGGTAGAAAATGTTACATAGTGTTTATGCATATTTCTATAAAACTATCGTCGACTGTTTCGTCCATTATTCGTTCTTATTCCTACAAGCGCCGCCAACGATGTCGCTACCGGTGTTTCCCTCGATCCTTGGTGCTTCCCACGTTTGCGTACTGCTGCCTTTATACCTGAAGAGAAGCCTTTTGTCTGCTACCCCGATACACACGAATAGAGGAAGCGCAGCGCGGTTTTGTTTGGACATTCATTGGAGAGCTGAATATGTGTCGTCGAAAGTAACAGTGCAGTTTCCAAAAAAATGGTGTTTAGGGTCTAGTCATGCGGTGCCTCGTTTATTGAATATCTATACAGCTGGATAAGTCGATGACGGTCATGATCAGAGAAAAATAATGTGAAAAAAAATAGGATGGTGGCAAGGAGATGGTCATTTTCAATCTAGTTATACTTCGTTGCGATCACAGCCGTCGGAGTCACTCATACCAAAACGATAGTAAGGTTCAACCCAGATCCAGGCCCGCGGCACGACCTACATTAGCAGTAATCATTATGATAACAATACTAGAAACATTCCTACAGATGATATTATTGTAGCAGTGATCATCGATGAGACTAAAGCGGAAACAAGCAGCCGAGCCGTTATTGCTGGAGAGCGGCCCGCACCCGTAACAAGGATTACCTCCGTTCAATAGTTGGGACGGCGCTCGGGGCAAAATGTTATACGACTAATGTATCATTTACCACCGGAACAACTGCTATGGTGAACATAGATAGAATTAAGGAAAAGAGAAACCACAGCGTGCGAATCATTTGTCACCAGTCAACTACAGTTAGGGAACCGGAGCAGGTTCAGTGTCGATGCAGACAAAACCGGTGGCCTCAGCAGCAGCAGCAGCAGAAAGCTACGGGGAGATTCGACATACTGCGCCACTCTCGTTAGCGACGTTTGTGCACACCTGTTTCAAGTTACTGCCTGAAGTTGCCCCTTGCATCAAAGAAAAAGCCCATCAGCCACAGCTAAAGATGTACACAAATTCTGCCATCGGACTAACTTTAGAGAAAACAACGAGGTAGCTACTGTTGCTGGTGATACCCAGACAAAATCCGGAGTAGTGCGGCCTAATTTCAAAGAGCTATCGTGTCCAGCCATTTAGAAGGCGAACAGCAATCAGGTAGAACACTTTTTTGCCTAAGCAGGTGAGTGAAGGTTTGCGTTGTTCGCGCATGTGGGATAAAGTCAGTTAACAAGCAGAACGCAAGGCTGGGGGGCCTGGAGTCTCGAGGTGGGAGCTGGAGGGCGTGAGAAATACGAGGGAGAGAGAGCTAGAGGAAATGTGGGAAATTATTTGCCATAAAAAGTCCCGAACTGTCGGCAAACGTGCTTTCCTTTGCATAAACAATAACAAAGATACTGATATAAAAAAGGGAAAAAATCCCAGAAAATTGCTAGCGATGAATGATCTTAATTTTGATAAACACCCACGATATTCAAGGACTTCAATAACTGTGTTAATGAAATCCCGGACGTTAAAATTAGTGATTATGCCCGCTTTATTGGCTAAACATTTGGCATTTTGCTAGCTCTATAGAGCGAATAGAAAAGGACAGGTTCGGGGAAGCACGTGCATCGATGACTATTTATTCACGCTAAGCCTATTTCAAGTGACAATACCAGATCTAATTGACAATAATTATGATAGGAATTTGTGTACGTAGCATTAATGAAAAACTTAAATGCCTACTTTCGATATTTGTGTCGTGAAAAGCTTAAATGCCTACTTTCGATATTTGTGTCGTTAGTGTCTATGTAGAAATAGGTGAGCCCAATTTTAAACTGTACGAGGCTACTTTCGATATTTGTGTCGTTAGAGTCTATGTAGAAATAGATGAGCCCAATTTTAGACTGTACGAAGCACTAAAATTATGTTGAGGGCTAACCTTTTTTAGAGGATCGGTACTAGACTAGAGCAGATTCGATAGACAAGTCTAAATTTTCGAACGACGATGTATCTGCGTAGCCATTGAAATAGCCATTTTTGTTTTAGATTGAAACCGGGCCCCGTCTTACTCGGCAACTGTAAACCTTCGGTTCGGATGTTTCGATGATGCTCTGAAGACTTATAATCCCGTGAATTTTTTATTTTTTTTGGAAGGATTTGTTAGCATGTCTTATCAGTTTGGTGTTCACTATAATAGAGAAAAGCTTATTGATAACCATTTGTTACTGTGACACGCTTTAACCTACGATGAACATTATGGACATTGCTGCTGTCAGATATCATGTACTTATAAGCAAACATCACTTGTAATACTCCGAGACGTAGTACGGATACACGCGAGAGTACAGATATACGCGATTACGCGCGCTCAATGCATGGGCGCAACGCATCCGAACTAAAGACTTGCAGCTGCCGAGTAAAGGGGAGGGCTTGAACTAATAAAAAACGGTTTTAATGGCTACGCAAAATTTGGATATGTCTGTCGAATTTGCTGTAGTTTACAGTGTGTAGAGAATCACTAGAAAGATCAGCCTGACGGCATAACCCATCTAGTTTCTTGTTAAAGAAGCCGTCTGATCAGAGTATATGTAGTTGTGCATTTTGTTACGCACCTATGAAAACCATACGAAAAAACCGAAGCAAACTTTTCAGTGGCTAAAAGTTGAGGCTCTTCCAATACGTTCCCCGTAAAACGCTAAATTGACGCTAAGCGCTGGTGAACTCGGTGTGTTACATGGGACGGGCTCGCTGCGGAAAAGTCTACCTGTGCAAATATTAAGTGCGATCCTTTCTCACCGCCTTCACCTATCACACTTACCGTGTGTGGCGTTGCTGGTAACTTTTCTATATAACAGGCTGTTTGGAACGCCATCTTAAAAGCAGGACTCCCAGAGGTCAGTCAGTGAAGTAACACAGAAAAGCAGAAAATCAAAAGCGTCATGAACAATACTTGGTCTATCGTCATGGATTACTAAGTTTCCAAGGTGGGTCACCTACGATGAAGCAGGTCGGTTAGTGATTCTTTTATTCGACCAATACGTAAACAAACCGATGCGGATAAAAATTAGAACGTTTTTTCTTCATTACGAATGTATATAAAGAATATATAGAAAGTGTTAGCTAGTGCAAAGTGAATATACAATGTGGGTAGATAGAATATGGAAGCACGTGGCTCTTCAAAAATCAATCCTTAGAATATGAAAGCACGTGGCTCTTCAAAAATCAATTCTTATCGTTTGCATTATTGTTGAGGTACAAACATCCTATTATGAATGGGACCTTCAATGCTACTTTTTTTTATAGTGCGTGTCTTCAGGTAGTCATATCTGCTGTTGCATTTTTATTCCGGTGCATTGAGCGTCCCATTGTGCTATACAGTCATGGCTATCACCGAGGATTACCTGTTTCATGAGGCAAATTTAATTAACCTGCGATAAAACTGTTTTTTGCATTGAAACACTTTAATTGTATGGACATTCGTTTCATTAAAATTCCTAGATACGCAACTCTTTTTCTGAGCTGTTGGTGTTCCAACAGGAACATTGTTGGCGATTATGGCGCAGGACAAAGACAACCTTGCTGTAGGACAAGCGATACGCTTGCGGTTTTGCTCTACTTCGCATTATCAACTGACCACCCTTTAATATGAATCATGCGCGTGTCATTAGCCCGTGGCACATTGTTGGTGTGGCTTGCTAGAAAGTTATAGTGTTTAGTTTCTAAACGGAACCATTCCACTCGCTCGTTGTCTTCGAGGATAAGTCGTCGTTTACTATTACCTCTATAGGGCCAGCTTACACGAGCTTGCTTTGCTGAGGCCTTTAAGTATTACGCACCGTTGTAACATTTCTCAAAGCAAGCGGGAACAACGAGAGGTGTCGGCTAGCGTTTTTAGTGATTGGGGGGTCATGGGTTTTTTGTGGAGTTCGGACCCTACTGTCTGCTATCGCTTACGCAACGGATGGGGGCACGAGGGGCTGTCGTCTAATGATCCGTACAGGAGAAGCTGATGCCCTTCTAAATTTAGCTGTAGCTCTAATGATATTAACATTCGTAGCTGTTGTTACTACCAGAAGTGCCCCCGATTAATGGTGCAATTGCTTTGCCGTTTTTTGTGGATGAGATAAAATAAGAAAAACAAGTGTGCATCTTTTAGTTCAATCACACGTTAAATACTGTTATTTTCAGCATTTGATGCTTGTATTTATGAAATGAATGGATCCCCGTTTCCCTGTCGGTATTTAAATTAGGTTACGATTTTGTATGATGTTTTTTCCCGTTCGTCGTTGTTTTCTAAAGTATACTGTAGATCTATCAGATAGCCAAGCTATATGCGGATAAATCTACATTTAGTTGCATCTACCCTTAGATTTCGAATGATATGAAATCGTTGCGATACTATATCATTTAGTACGACACCGGCATGTCTAATCTGTGTATTCACGTGGATTCAACGAAGGGGTGCATTGCCTTCAAACATTGTATCGTGCAATAGTCAATAAGATGACAATGGGGAACTGTAGGTTCTCTCATGCTCTGTCAGGACGGGTACGAGTTCGTTCCGTTCTCGCTGACAACCTGCAACATTTGTCCAACTAGTCTGATCGAAAATTACATTTTCCGTACGAAGTACACCAAGCGTATGCCGTAATATCCTGAACGAAAGTTTTGTGTTTTACAAAAAGACCTCTGTCTGAATATTTGCTTGTATTGTAGTTTGTAGATTGTTTTTTAATATGTTTGCTAACCTTTCTGTCTCTGAAGGCCATATCAGATGGACAGGCTTATGTTGGAATTAATATAGAAGCAAAGCGGTTGCGTCGTTTGAAACTAGAGCGCGGATATGCCAAGGTCACATCTTCATTCGCTATTGTAGTTGATTATATTAAGCTTTAAGGCTATGTACAATATGATCAGATCGTGTACATATAGGAAGCGTTCTATTTAGCAAAATAAGCATACAGTAAACACCGCGTGTCAAATGCGTATGCACCTGCAGCTAAGCTGAAACGTATTTTATGTACTATTTATTATTCTATACAAACTTGGTGAGCCAATGAGCAATCAACCCAGAACTATGTGATAATGTAGTTCTTGCTGTTTTAGAACAAGGAAATACACTTGTATCGGGTTATTGATTAAACCATTGATGACGGGCCTCATGGACATTAGCCACTCCGTGGTATCCGCCCCGGTTGATACATAGACATAAGAGGCGATCTCCGTCTAGTTCTATAGAAGCCAGAAGACATTTTTCCAAGTATCACCGAAGTGATACAGGTGTCCATTAAACCCATTATACATAATTAAAAATAGAACGATACATTTGGGTATAGTAAGTAGCAATTCTGCAAACGATATAAGAAACATTTTTCAGTAGGCAAGCAGTAAAGATGACGGCGGGCTTCAAGTGACGAATGAATTATCTGGTATACTTAAGTTATTAATCAATGAATGAAACGCAATCGAAAACGATTATGATCGCGCTGTAAACGTATATGAGTAGAGAACTATACTAAGTTTATTTCACACGATTGTTTCTTTAGCGGTCTACCATGGCCTAATTGATCTGTGTCTAGGTTCATAAATAAGAAACAACAATATTTAGTAACAAAAGCGAAAAAGGGTCACCGGTGTAACTCTCAACCGCTTTATAAAAGCTTGCCATCTGTAACTTGTTTTCGGCTAAGGCCGAAGTTTTTACTAGCAGAAAGTTGGAAATGCTGCAGGTAAAAGCATTCTCAGTTCCATCCCCTAATCGAATTACTCCAATTTGTCGTTGTATTACATTATGTGTGTGAAACAAATTGAAACATATATTTACTGACTAAAAAAATATACTCCGAAAACAATTAAGTAGAGTAAAATATTAGAATAGCTCGTTGCTTAGTACCGGGAGAGACAATTTCGTTGCTTTGATGCATCGCAAGCCTACTCTGATCAATCCAACCGTAATTGTTCGACTTATCATAGAAATAGGGTATTATCTCGAGACGCTGTTTATAAACTGCTATCACCTTATCTACATTTCGGCAGGTTCAATTAGTACTCTAAAGTAAACGACTTCATTTCAGATGAAGCGTCGTGAACCACAGTCTCACACAGGGGATACATATGTCTATGGGTTTACTTATGCTTATTTTTTATTGTGTAACTATGTAATCTGCCTCTTAACGAGCCGTGGTGAACTTGATCAGCAGTGCCGTCCGTCGACGTGTGAGTCCGGAAGCTTAAATACGCGCGTCCAGCTATTATGTCAAAAGCTCAGAAATGTGCATTTGAGTGCAGTACTGTTGGGATTACTGTCAATCCTAAAATTTACGTTCAAATTAAAGGGCTGAATAACTGCGACATTTCTAAGCATATGAAAATCTTCTGCACCGTAAGAGCGATAATTGTCTATCGTTAAAATGTGCGCTGTTTACAATCGTGAAAGGATTTCTTTCGAAAGGTTGTAGACAATAATGTAGCATGTACGACGTAATAGTTAAAAAAATTCTAGATATATTTGTATCGTATTTAAAGTACGTTTATTATTATTACGGTTATTATTCAATGCAAGTCATTTGCAGATTAACGAATAATTTGAAGATGTCTAATTAGTGGTATAGGTCTCAAATGGAAACTGTAATCGGGGTGGATAGATATATTCAATAAATACAATTGATTTTAATACATGTTGAACCATTTGTTTGAACAACTTAGTTAAACAGCTTTATCGACAACAGTATTCTGAGGAAATGGATATAGATAGTTGTAGAAATGTATGAATAGAATTTTGATACAAAAGAGGACCGTCAGTAAACAACACAACGAACTGTGCTGATTGTAACATAATTTAGTATTTAGATGTTATTAGATTATTTAGCTGTTAACAGAGAGGCATAGTGTTGTCGGTGTCGGTAGGCCAAATGTTAGGGGTTACTTAAAAGGGTACTTTAGTAAGGGCAAAAATGACACCTGTACAGTTAAGCCCGTAATGCTGCACTGATAAACAGAACGTGTCTATTTATCATGAACAAAAGTAAGCCGCAATAATTTATAAGGTTTGTATGCTATAATATCCCAATGCATTCGATCACGTGAATTGGCAAAAGTACTAGATATGAGCCTCGGACAGCTTTCAGATAAAGGTAACTTGAAGGCATGCCTATAGGTATGCTTGCCGGTTAGAAGAGATTGGATTAAATAAATAAGAAAGTTACTATTTAATTGTACTCGTGAAATGCTTAAGCGTGGTTGTGGAACGGTAAGGTTCGAGTGGTAAAGAGCATCAAATGGTTCGGTCATGAGGCAGTGGTAACGTATTTACCAACTAAACTTAATAGATAATACAAGTTAATATCTGTTAATAGATACACACGGCGGATTTCGACCACGTGCCCATAATATAAAGGTCCTGCCTAAGAGTAGATTTGTGCTGTGCGACCGTTAGCATATTCAAGTGTTTTTACTACAGACACTATTTCTATGCATGCGTCAGTATCTTCTCCCTGGTTATCAAGGGCACTTATGTGCACAATGAAGTTCATTAGAACTTCCCTTATTGACCGAAAGTGCATGAGTAAATACGCACGCGGTGCCGGCATGTAAATTTACAACGAAGCAGTGCCTTAAACTCGTACGTGCACAAAAATAGTCGCTGTTTGTTTGAAAGATAGATATGTAAATAAGCGTCAACCCGAGGTCGTCTTGAGACCCGAAAAACCCAGTCCATGCAAACCTATAAACTAAAATACATTTGTCATATTTGCAATACTGATAACAAGACAAACAATAGTTTGTTACAATTCCTAGTACAAACACCCAATACTTGTTTTGTGAAAGAGGTCGCTATCAGAGCGAATAAAATGGCTTTATTTATCTGGCAGTATCACGAAGTTAAGTTGGAGCCAGCCGTTACGAAGTTGATACCGCCTCTGCTAGAACTACTAGTTTGGGCGGGAGAAAATGTCTGTATCAAATCGATCAGGGTTAAGCTGGGAAAGTTGGTAAGTTTCCGTGCGCCATTGGATCGTTATAGTGGCATGCTAACGTGTCGATAGACCTCAGCGCGATGTTTACCACGTAAGGGGACCATTTGTTGTCGAGTCGTTGCTTCTAACCGTGAACATTCCGTACACAGATTCGCATTAAACTGTGCTTTTTACGAGACACCCTTTGACTAGCATTCGACATTTTGTTAAAGAAGGTCTGGTTATCATTCTACTAAAATCCGTGCTTATTATTGCCTCATACAATTACTAGCCGTAAAATGAACGATTGTTCGGTCGAACCCATCGATTTCAATGGCTATATACTGACATATCTGGTATACTGTACTTGGTTTGACATAATTAGTCAAATCTCAAAAGTTCTCTCATGATATGTTTTCTTAGTGTGGATAATATACCCTAATTTTTGGTTTCGTACTTAGTTGAAGCTGTTGTACTTCTCACTGAATTTGTATTGAATACCATTCACTTGAATATAATTATTAACTAATTAATTCATTGTTTCAAGATCAAATTTTATAAACCTTTCACTATTTTGTTATATTAGTCCAGTAGTGCCTCACGTTAGTTAAAAATAAGTTTATCGAAATATCAAAAAAGGTTGTTTCGTGCAGACCCGAGATAGCCTTTGGGTTAACCCTTTAATTGGTAATCATTAGTGGATAAAGTGTAGGAATTGAAAAACTGATGATGATAAATTGACACAGCCTTAAAAAAAACCGAAGCGATTACCTCTTAACAGCTTCTCATGATACGATTATACATGTTTAAACCAAAGTTGATATGTTTTTCACAGTTCAGTTATGTTGATCCATTATTGCTCCGTTCGAGCTTATCTAAATGCTACGTACCTCCCTCTCAGGGGACGCAACAAGCGGTAAGTAGCTAGTCAATGCGGTGCCAAGTAATCTTATTGGCTTGCAAATGGACAGCAAGTGTTCGTCCTGTCGAGCCAGAGCCGCAATAAATTTCTACTGCATTAGGACCGGGAACGTATGCAGGCAACTCTCCTGTATGTGGTTTAGAATATGACCTATTGTGTGCATACTTGTAATTCGTTTGAAAACAGTACTCGAAGATATGGATACATGTGGATATGTTCAAACAATCTCATTACTTGGGTGTAGAGTCTGTCAAAATACATTTGCTCTAAAATCTATGCAAAAAGCTTAAGATAGCATCTAGGTGAGAATTCACCATTGTTCCAGCCCCAAAGGAAGCGGTAAAGATCATACAGGTTGTCTTTGAGTTTTGAAACACTGTAGTCTAACACAGAAATTTGGTTGGACTTTCAAAGGAATTTATAAATCGATTGAAATTTCCTATTATTTAAGCATGTTGCTTTCCTATCCGTGCTAAAGTTTCAGTTTCGGCGAACGAATATAACAAACGAGAAGGGAATATAGGACTTTAAGATTTGAGACATCGTAACGTATACCTAATTTGTTACGTCTTCTTCATTGAAGACATTACTAACAACTAACAAAAAATTATACATGTCAATCTCGATCGCTTAGTATATAGCGAATACATTACAAAAGCGTTTGGATTTGTTCAATTTTTTTACAGGGCCATGTTCCAATTATCTATGCTTTACTGCGTCTCCAAAAAATGAGAGGGTGGTTGACAACAACAGTTTTCACGCTTCTACAAATCCAAGATCCGTTCAATAGATTTCATATATTAAATAGTTTGAGATCTTAGATGTTCTCTGAGTGTGCACCTCTTCTCTGAGTTCGATGGAAGTAATTTATCATAAAAGCAATATAATGTAAAAGAAATCGCCAATCGAGGCCCGAATCTCTAATCCGCCCGATATATAGCAGAAATTTACGAAGCAGTTTAGTTTTTTAGTACACTCAAGTCAATCGTAGTGCGGCACCATTCGAGACTACATATTGAATATTGTCCACTACACTAATTAATACTCGAAGACGGAACTTCTACTCAGGTCTTTGCTTTAATATATGAATGCAACGGAACTAAGGAATAGGCTGAGAAAAATAAGTTTTTTTTTAATATAGAAACATGCAGATCTTTCTGTCAAAAGTACAATGTTTGCTAATTGGTTCTGGTTTATAAAATACATCTGCCTTTTTTCTATTTCCATAGAGGGCCATCCAGATTCGAAATACGAATTTTCGGCCGAAAGGACATACTGATTTTGTTGTTGAAGAATAGCAGAAATCTAGGCCAGCTAAACCGAATATTTGTGATCAATTTGACTGCTAAAAGTGGAAAACTCCAGCGTTGGAAAAAACTCAGTTTGCCTATTTGTTTATTAGTGTGCAGCGCGTATAGTTGTGTACGTAAACCTTTTCCCATCCTTTTGTTGCCTTTGTCTTGCCTCCTTTGTGTATCTGTAAGCCCCATCTACTCCTTTGTGCATTCACGAGTAGCCATTACGCCGTAACAGTAAGACATAGACATGTAATAATCAATAATAATGTGCAAAAACACATAACCACCTATTTCCAATATATAATGCTTCCATTCGTTATTCAACCCTAGTGTTAACATGATTTCCCTCGTGTGTCCAAAGCTGATTTCAGGCGAAAGCAGCAATGCGACGAACTCTGGCCTTCAGTCTAATGTGGCGACTGGTGCGTCTATACTCGCATTTGATTATCTGTGCAATTTTGCTCGGGTAAGTTATTCCCTATTAAGTTCTTTTTATTTCCCCACGTTACTCTTAGATGAGTAAATTCTAAACCAGTACGAGAAATAATGTACTGATAGGATTCACGTTGCCGATGTTGTTATGTTAACCAAGTTCGTTTTTTGTAGCCTATATCTGTACAACAACATAATAAGTTTTATTCGGAAGCAGCAGGTGATAGTAGTTAGGAATCGTAGTGGAGTCGATAATCCCGGAAGAAAACCGTGTTCGTGAGTTGGGAACAAGTGAATTCGAGTAACACACGGCGAGTCATCACACGGAGACTTCGATGTGAGACGCATTACCCAGCGTTGATGCCATATTATTAGTGCTGATGGGTTTTCTCTACGCAAATTTGTTTTCACAGAGCCCTCGTGTCTGTGTGTTATACCCTGTCGTGGGTGGAGTATCGCGTGGGCCTTTAGGCTATCCACTGCGCAGCCCGTCACCTTTCTTTTCCCATCGTCCACCGGACCAACTAAGGAAATATCCCAAAGATTTCTCATGTAGAAAGACAACCTTCGGCAGAGAAGGGCTGATAATAAACGGGTGTTCTGTGGACAGATAGCTCTAATGGTTCTTTCAGACTACCGTATAGAATAAGGAGAACTGGTACTAGTGAAAAGTGGGTGGAACTGATTTGGAGGAGTGGCCCTGGGTCAACGCAGTGGTTTATACAGGCCTAGTTGCGTTCGCTTCATAAACGTTATCGCTGTGGCAGCCAACACCGACGAACTAGTGTGAAGGCCTACGTGTGTCGAAAAAGTTCGAAGACTGGATGATGTCTTAGTTACTGTCTTGGAACAGGTTGGGCCTGAAATGCACGGTATGGACTCGCAAGTGTGTCAAAGCATATATTAAATGCCGCACTTACCCATTGCAGTGGATGACGACATTTGACTTTAAGCTTTATACAGAAGCCTACTTTTTCCTGGTTATTAAACGTTTCTGCATATGGGGTAATCCAATAATGCAATACCGTGTCGATATCAAGATGAGCTTGTTATTCTAGCTACACAGTGGTGATATCGGTTTTCGATTTCGCCCAGTTCCTTATCAAACGAAACGAGTATCGGATACTGAATTTCATGTCGCTTGTAATAGCCTTGAAGAGCGGACTCGTTAATATAGAACAGGTTATAGCATATAGTCTTCTACAGAAAAGAATTCAACAGATATTTATGACGATATTTTTATGAACGTTTCTGAAATTAAATGTAAATAAAATAAAATAAAACGGAAAGCGGATAAATTTAGATACATTACTTAGTTAGTCATTATAAATAGATATCGAACTGTCCGCATAAAGGAGGTCGCTATGCCTGTAATATGGCGTTTGTAAACTCTACGTACGATCTCCAGTTTCTAGCAGTCTAACTATTAAACGTGCAAGTTCTGTCGTGGAGTTCAGCTGACTTGGGCTAAGGGGTAGTGGGGTCATCCATAATCTAGTATTAGAATTATTAGATTTTGCCATTGCATCAAGTTTATCTTCTACATAAAACGAGAGTTTCACCGTGTTGAAGCCAGCAATAGACGTCAGATAGACAGGCAGTCTCATGTAACCCATTCTACTTGATTAACGTGATTTCATTATATTAGCGCAACAAATCATGTTGAAACGTTTTCGGCTAGCTTATTAGACGTTGTTGGCTGGTATATTTTTATATTGTGTGGGTAATTTATATAGACTCCTTTGTGCCCGAGCAGTGAAATGCTAATTCTCGCGTCTGATATACTCTCAGCAAATAGATTACTATACGTGGGGAAAAACTATTTTAAAGCGCTGATGTTGTCGAGAACAGTACGAAGGCATTTTTGACCTTGCGACTTATCCGTTCATGAACTACGTGCTATATGTTGGCAATGCAAATCTTGTAGAAGTAACCTTCAATCTATAAATGGTCTATTTTGGCATGACCTAATTACTAACATTAACTAACCAGAACATTTCAGAAGTACTGAGCATTTGTTAAACATCCACAAGAAAAGAACACAATCACTTGGCGACAATCTACAGGTCTCTAGCTACATTTTGTGACCACGCGTGGGTGATTGAATTGTTCTTTTCATTAGAAACTCCTCCATGTCGAATCAAAAAAATCTCGATGACGAAAATGTTACCGGAACTCGCAAAAAGTGTTTGCCAGAAGCGCAAACTTTAACATAATGTTACCACAGTTCAATAAGCTTTAAAAGTGTTGATACTTTACACAGTAATAAACTTCTAATTAATAAAAACTAAACCTAACTTATACCGGAAAGCAACGCTATTGGGTGTGAGAAGTTGAGTCAAGTTGAGAACTTATGCCGACATCCATCTTTGTTTTCACCATATTGCTCCGTGGACCAATGCCTTGGATCATTTTACGAGTATACAGCCATTTCCGGGTAGATATATACATATAATATATGTGGGTGTTAGATAATACAATAGACGAATTTGAGGCTCATTCGTGTAGCTGTTTTTTTTTGGAAAATTATGACGCTAGAAGGTACAGCTTGGGCCAGTTAGACTAAGCAGCTCATATGCAGCTAGCCAAGATATATAGCCAATAGTCGAAATTTTGCAGTGTTACTTTTGAAAACAGTACATTTCCTATGTTTGACTCCGTTTAACCATTAGTTTCCAAATATTGCTTCTTTTTTAGGCAATATGTGCTTCACAGTATAAGCAAAAATGATTGGATTTTTTGCCTTTGGACTAACACAGCAGAAAGCTCAATATGGCACGCAAATCAAAAAAAAAAAAGTTCAATTTTTGTAAAATATCTGTACAACTGTTTTATGCGTGAATGTCCTGTAACAACAAAGCTCTGACTTTTCTAATAACGCTTGTTAAATCTCTAACTGTAATATCGTTTGTAGGTATATAACTGCGAAAATAACGTAATAATTCTGGGCAAACAGATTTCTAAAATAGAGGATGCAGAGATCAAAGCGCGAGCGAAGTAGACATCGTAGTTTGTTTACAATATATATGTAGATAATAATGCAAAAATTAAAATTTCTTTGCCCACTCTGCAAATGGTTTTAAAAATGGCTGAGCAAAGCAAGCTTGTCTTGGAAACTAAAGTATTACTTTTCTAACAGTTGTTTGTCGCTAGTCAAATCGTAAAGTGGTAACTTAATCGAAGATAATGAATTTGTTACTGGCGATTATGAAGAGCCTATAAACTTTTATCATGCAACATTTACTAGTTCTATCGTATATTCTAGCACTTCATTTCATGAAGTGACTTTTGTTTTGAATTAAAAGACTAAGATGCTACATTAATTAGCAATACAATCATAATTAAAATGGACATATCGTTTACCTCTGGTGGAAAATGACAGGCTTCTTAGGGTGATATCTACGTCGCGGCCTTTTACTTACCTTACTTTTTGTTGTTGAGTTGACGATATCAGCTCAACATATTTAGTATGTGCACAGATATATTCAATTAGGTTAATAATTCTCACAAATATTCAAATTCAGAAAAATTTAATGAGGTAACAAATGTTGAAACCTAGAGGGATGTCAAAATAGTTCATCTCTCATGGTAGACGCTCTGGTCCGTGCAATATGTCAATGAGTAACTCAAATATATAAATTATTCGAGAAAGTTTTAAAAATATGATAATACAGTTCATAATATGCGTCCATTAGTACTCCAATAGTACGTCGCATTAGATATGTGCGATTATATCAATTCTAACGCTGAATTTCTATTTCTGCCTGCGTCTGGCTTACCTTTTACAGAGTATGTCTATTGGTTTTGTTCCGTGGTATAGGCCCGCCAGGCCCCGCGGAGCAGGGTACAGTGGATCTCGACGCCGAACTACGGAACCTCGAGCTACAAGTAAAGAAAAATCGTCAAGAATTGGCTTCGCTGAAACGCAGCCTAGAAGAAGCGGAACAGAAAGCCAGAGTTCCTGTCGCTGCATCCGGAGCAGACGTTGCGGGGATCGGGAAATCCGACACGCTACACGATACCAGCACAATGTTTTGCATGAAAAGTGTCCCCCCGCGTGCTAAATGTGACTATGACATACGGAGCATCATTCAGACGGTATCATTCACCAATGAGGACGGCGGAGTTTGGAAGCAAGGCTGGCCCATTGAATATGACTCGACACAGTGGGATGCCACCAACAAACTTAAGGTGTTCATTGTGCCCCATTCGCACAACGATCCCGGATGGATAAAAACGTTTGAAAAGTATTATACCGAGAACACAAAAAATATCCTCACATACGCTGTCGCTAAACTAAGCCAACACCGTGACATGACTTTTATTTGGGCTGAGATTTCTTTTTTTGCGCGATGGTTCGAAGAACAGCCCGAACCGATTCGGAAGAATGTCACCCGGCTGGTGAAAGAGGGCCGCCTCGAGTTCGTTACCGGCGGCTGGGTGATGAACGATGAAGCTAACACTCATTACTACGCCATGCTGGAACAGCTCGTACTTGGCCACGAATGGTTGCAACGAAATCTACCGGCGGCACCGAAGCCGAAAAATGGCTGGGCCATTGACCCGTTCGGGCTATCGCCAACGATGGCGTTTCTTCTGAAGGGACTCGGCTTGAAGAATATGGTCATACAGCGAGTGCACTATTTTCTCAAAAAATATCTTGCAAGAGCTAGGGCTTTAGAATTTCAGTGGCGCCAGTCCTGGGACACGCAAGGTGATACAGATATGTTTTGCCACATGATGCCTTTCTATAGTTACGATGTCCCGCACACATGCGGCCCTGACCCAGCTGTTTGTTGCCAGTTTGATTTTATGCGATTAAAACCAAGCCGGTCAAGCTGTCCGTGGAAAATGCCCCCGATCAAGATAACCGAGAGGAATGTGGCTTCTCGAGCTGCGCTGTTGCTCGACCAGTATCGCAAGAAAGCACAGCTGTACCAGACAAGTTCAGTGCTCATACCGCTTGGTGATGACTTCCGTTTTGACCGTAGTACTGAATGGGACAGCCAGTATACGAATTACAAGAGAATTATGGATTTCATTAATAAGAACGAGTCATTGAATGCCAACGTGCAGTTTGGCACACTTCAGGACTATTTCCAGTCAATTGAGAACGATATGCGTTCATCAGCCGTTACGATACCTACGCTGACGGGCGACTTCTTCACTTACGCAGACAAGAATGATGAGTACTGGTCTGGCTATTATACATCGAGACCATTTTACAAGTTTTTAGATAGGCGCGTCGAGTCGACGTTGAGGACAGCTGAAATTGTGCACAGTCTGGCCAAAGCAAACGGTATGAACTGTCGGGTGACGAAAATGCTGGACCAAGCGAGAAGAGGCCTCTCGCTCTTTCAACACCATGACGGTATTACGGGCACGGCGAAAACACACGTAATGCAAGACTATGGCATGAAACTCAACCAGGCATTAACAAACTCAATGAATATCATCCGCATATCTGCTGAATATTTGCTCGGCAACACTGATTCATGTGAGAACAACATTGTCATTAACTTGAATGGAACGGTTGAGGGCTACTCGTCGAGGGTATTGCTTGATTTTCGCCAGGCCTCCTATATCGTGTCGGTTGTAAATGCGTTAACCGCCCTTCGGCGAGAGGTAGTCACGATTTACACGGTATCACCCGACGTGACGGTTAAAGGCGCGGTGTCTCAACTTTCGCCCGCATTCGATGGCTGCAAGCTGCGCGACGATCTCTTCGAGTTAAGCTTCCAGGTTGAACTACGACCCCTCGAGGTTAAAGCGTTCACGGTATCACGCGGTGGCCACGAAACGGCTCCGTCGAGAGCGGACGTCATATTTTACAAGAGCTCGTGCGAGAACAGCGGCGGGGGCGTCTTTCAGGTAAGCTCGTCTGATGAGCAGAACTTCAAAGTCGAGACTAGCGGTTTGTCAGCGAGCTTCTCGAAGTACACCGGTCTGCTGACCCGACTGACGCAGACTACCGCACAGGCGTCCGTCGAAATCTCGTTCTGGCGATTTTCCACGCACAGCAACCCGAAACGAGATAAATCCGGCGCGTATCTGTTCATGCCAGAGAAAGACGCCCCCACATCACTACGTTTCGTTCCGACAACTGTTGTCGCAGTAAAAGGCGCCCTCGTCAGTGAGGTACTCACTATTACCTCAGATATCAAGGTGCATTTCCGCATCAAGGAGTCACCAGGCATCGATGGGCAAACTATTGAGATACACAATATTGTCGACATCACTCGAACGAACAATTTCGAGTTGCTGATGCATGTCTCTACTTCGATCGAATCGAAATCATTCTTCACCGATCTCAATGGTTTCAGTTACGTCGAACGACGCTACCAGCATCAATTACCTATTCAGGCCAACGTGTACCCGCTGTCGGCCATGGCCTACATACAGGACAGCTTCGCGCGGCTCAGCCTTGCATCAGCACAGCCCCTCGGCGTGTCCGACCTTGGCGAACAAGGCTCGTTGTATGTGTTCCTTGACAGGCGGCTCAGTCAGGACGATAACCGAGGACTAGCTCAGCCGGTACAAGACAACATTCCCGCGTTGAGCTCGTTCCGGCTCGTGCTCGAATCGCAAAGCGACATCGATCCTCGGCCTTCATTGTTGGCCTTGCTCACGTACCATTCATTGTCGTCGCCTGCTCTTCCTCTATTAGTTCACGGCACTAAAAAGGAGTCATATTCAACCTCATCGACCCTTCAGCCTTGCGGCCTACACCTTGTCAACGTTCGCTTCATGGACACCGGGACCGGCGAAGAACCTCAGTTCCTCATTACGTTACACAACGAAGGTTATTCGTGCAGTGAGCTAGTGCCTATCGGTATGTGCCAGATTACATCGGCTGGCATGGACTTAACAACGCTCTTTGGACGGACATTCGGTGATAGCGCGCAGTTCACATCACTCAGCGATCTGTACCCCGGTGATGTGTTCCACGTCACCGAGAACATTCATGTGCCGGCTAACCACATTCGGGCGGTAAAAATGGCTCGACTCATCCCATGATTCTAGTGAGCAACCAATCAAGCAGTCCTATTATTCGTCGTTGTAGAGTTAGCTAGCTAAGAAACATAGAGAAGCCCTTCTTTTAAAATATTATAGGTAAAAAACGACAGATGAGTGAAAGATTTATATAGATACTACATACATATTATGCTAATGTACTGACTAATGGAGGCTTTCAGACATGCTATATATATGCGTGTGCGAGGCTTCCGGATAGACAAGACCATGAATGAGGAGATATATCGTGTTTAATTTACTAGCATTGATATTTCGATAGTAGAAGTAGTAATACGAATTATAGTACTTATAAAATGTAAGAGATAAAAGTATAGAGCAAGCGAGAAGGAGAGAAAGTGCGTCTAATACAGGAGAATATAACGACGACAAGCACTGTTCTGGGTGGCTGATGAAATAAAGACGGCCCAATTGTATTAGGTTGATAGGAAACTTATTTCGACCACGTTTAGTTTTTGTTACCCATATATTTAATTTAGCCGTTTGGCTTGCAAATTGATTGGTGGGCCTCTTCTATGAAGTGTTCGTTTTGCACTTTGGCCGAGCACGTCAATAGCGATCGTCTGCTCAGTAGTCAGATGTCCTATGATCGCAACCGCAAATTCTTTATTACAGAATTATATATTGCTGAAAAATAAGGCACTTAAGACAGCCAAGATTGTGCAGTGGATTGAAGGTAAACTTTGAAGTGCCATCTGATGGCATTTGTCAAGATTGGTTTTAACAATCTCCAGCTGAAGGTTTATTTCTATAAAAAACCGAACTCTGAATGGCCGCAAGAAGCGAATGACGACAAATTGCAAATACTTCTGTAGAATGAGAATTCGACCAAGTCATCTTACAAATGCTCTGTATGGGTAAAAAAACAAACTATTACAAATTACCTGCATACACGAACTAACCTATCAAACGTATTTAAACGTAGATACTATATGAACTTAGTGGCTTTGCCATTTGCTTAAGCACATACATATCATTACTTGCAAGCTAGGAAAAAAGCCATTCCTGTAAAATATCGGCACCGCAAAGTGATCTCTAATGACGAACTTTGCCGCAAGAGAGAATAGCAAAACCACAGATAATTCTCGATATAAACAACACCTAAGATTCAATAGGGTCTAAAAGGAACTACCTATATAAGCGTATAGTAAAGCTGCATAAACACAATTAAATGATGATCGCTGACTGTGATTCGACTCGGCTCCTCAAGTTGAGTCATAAAACTAATGATATGAAGGCTCTTGAGACACAAGGCCACATGGGACTAGCGAAAATTCTGATAAACCTAAGACTGACAGTCCTTCAACGAAAATACTTTTACGCCCTACTTATTAAATTGCAACTGTTAGAATTAGTGCAGCACGGCCCATTTAAAGCAGGAAACAGAAAAACAAAATGATTTCATAAATGGGTTCCATAGTTGAGAGATACATCCTTTACCCAAATAAATAAACGAAGAACACGGAAAAAGCTAATCAATTTTAGAAGGCGACACTGATATATTTTAAATTTTAGCGCCACTAAAAATGACTTAATTAAAAAAAAACGAAAATACTTATCTAACTAACGTAATAATGCTAACAACCAAGAAATAACTAATTAAATGCAGTTTGCAACTGCATACGCCGAACTGGTAATGAGCGATTGTTATAAAGTGAAAATATAAACAAGCAAATGTATACATGTTCTCTTGTTACGTGAGTCTGAATGGATGGACAAATGACCTGAAAGTGTGGATCCATCTAAGAAATTTTGTGTGGTTAATTATTCGAAAGTGTATATTTTGATAATGATTGTCAAAACGGTTCTAAGTAGCCAGTGTCCACTCTTACCAGACTCCAGCTGATTTGTTTCCGTCACGATATTTCCGATGCAATTTATGCAACGTTTAGCATTGTACGCGGACTAAGCCCAGCTAAAGCAACACCCGTAACAACAATAATAACAGCGACAAATAAATAATTTCTTATCACCGTGGTCACAATCTACTAAGTAAACATTGACATAAACATCTTTGACCGTAACGAGAAGATAAAGCGTTTGTATTCGTATACTTGTGGGATGCGAGAGGGTATTAGAAGAAGAAACAATAGAGAAAAGATAATCATATTATTACAATATTATAGCTTGAAGTAGTCCTAGATGTGATATATATACATATATATATATATATATATATATATATATATATACACAGCCGGTTATCAATCAAATAGGCTCAACAATTCGAACCGAGTTTCAGGCCCATCGCACGACACTACAGCGACATATTTTCAAACGGTTTTTTGGCGACTGTTCATATAGTTATAAAGAAATCGGCAAATATTTTCGAATTTTTGACAAAGCATGTGGGATCGTTGCAAGCAATAGTATTTCATGGTACTGCCCCTTACAGACAGAATTGCTGCCACTCTCTGAAACGTGTTTCTGATGGAGTTTTTCGCTGCCGCAAATATGAGTGGATCATGATGCCAAACGTCAGTAATTTTTTTTACAAAGATCTGAAATATTTCATATTCTCTGTCCTTTCCAAACCAGTTGTTATAATTTTTTAGACATCTATTTTTGGATTGAGATCTGGTGAAACAGCAGGTCATGGCAGCACCTCTAGTGTCATTGCCAACTAGTAGCTTTACCATGCATGAAGATATAGTCACCGGTGGAACTATTGTACTGGAGGCACCGTCTTGCTCTCGATAACTTCAGCATATTCTTTGTGCATTATTATCCCCTGTGCGAAATGTGTCATCCCAGTGCCTTTGATACACATAATAAACCACATCAAAACTTCCAACAGATGTTGAATTTTCGACATAATGCGGTTTTTAGAAAATCGTTTGCCAAAACGTCTGAATGAATGATGAGTTTTTTCCCGAGAGTTTCAAAATGAAATTCCTTTGAGAAACAGGCTTCTCTCAGTTTTCAGCGGTCCAGTTTCCAAATGAAGACGGGTTCGCTTCATGCGAACATGCGATCTATGTTTCTTGGCAGGTCTATTGCCCTTGAGTCGGCGGCAAAACCTAACTTTCAGAAGAACTGGTCTACAATCTTTTAAACCGCTCTAGAGACGAATAAGAGACGAATTTAACTTTTCTTGGAGCTCGTAAATAACCACCTAGCCTTTCTACATTCCTTCGTGGTAGTTTCGTTCTTCGATCTTAAAGACACGTTGTGATCTAGGTTCGAATCCAAGCATAGGTACATTTCGTTTCGTGCTGGGAGCCAGCTGTCTGATGGAATTTCTAACGGCGATGCCAGACGTAAAATTTGAAACAAAGGCCCTTGTGCTTCGTGGCACCTTTTAATTCTTTTTACTGATTTCACGCGACGACAGCAGAAGGGTGCTTTAGCTTATCAGCAACGTTAGCGACCGTGTACTGGAAAACATGAAACGTCTCAGCAGTTTAACGTTGTGAACATGTTTCGACAAAAACACTCCAGCCAGTCTTCGCACTTAGTTTTTCCAGCGTCGACAACGGAAGACGAAAGTACCTCGTTTTAGTGCTGAGCGATAGACCTTGAAATCTTGTAAAAACCATCTGATTAAATACCGACCGAATATATCTAAATATATGTACATATATGTAATACAATAGAATGTGAAAGTCTATCCACCTACATTTACAGCTAGTGCGACCGATGAGTATTGCATTTGTACCAATATGATACGATACGATAAGGAAGGAGCTCTTGAAATTAAGGGCAATCCATTGCAATGATTATTTTTAAGGTAAACGTGATTTCTCGCTGTCACGAGCCCTTTATCCCAATACAGTACGTAGATCTACGAAGTTAGCTAGTTGAACGATTGGAACATGTGTACAATGGACATAGTATGGTTTTCACTTGACGAGTCATGGCATTATGAGCCTAATACGTAGGCACACGTCTGTCGTATTGTACAATGCGGGTAAATAACTTATAGAATATAGACTTATGGCAAAAAGACTAGCAGGAGAAGAACAGAAATCTAACAATTTGCGGGGCGTCTTGTCTAGGATGTTTTGATTTACAAGTTATACGACTATTACATTATATAATTACAATTGCTCGTTATCCTGTGTACGCCGTTGATAGTGTTGCATTAAGATATTCTGCGCATACTTGACGTTTTATGAAGTGACAACTCGAAAGTAACGTTGATGTAGTGAATTTACGAACATCGCCACACAGTTGTGACAAAGGCTCCTCCTCCGGAAGCTCCGTGTTAACTAGGTTCACGTCCCACCCTTGCTAAATCAAGCAAAGGTTGTATTCAGCCAGAAGTAAACAAACAGGAGGAAATGACGAGCATCAATACGATAAGGTTGGCTACAGAGCTGCTTTTTGCATAGGAGTGGCAGATGTATATATCGAGAAACGGATAGAGGGACACGTTATGAGAACCTTTTCTACCTATAGAATCTGTCACATAAACTGAAAATATCAACAAATTGTATCTGGACCATAAACCAGAACTTAAGTTCATTCCTTTTTTAGCATAACCGTATACTATGTTCACTAGGTATTCATGCTAGACGAACTGCCTGTCGATGACTAGTTTATACCGTTTTGATCCGAAATTGTTTTGAAAACATGTAATCATCTCTAAACGTATAGCTATTGTTCTCAGTCACCCATATCTTTATCAAGCTTTTCAAAAATAACTTGTCTGAGCTCATGATTGAAGCATGCTTATTTTAAATGAGCAACTTGTTTCATCTTAACTTCAAGCATTCAGTGATTTGCTGCTACACCTAAAAGGATGGAACAAATGCTTCTATCGAAGTTCTTTTTCTGGGAGACTACAGAAATTTTAGCCGCTGGGTCGAGCCATCGATGAATTAGAGACGTAGGTTTATAGTAGACCATCCATGTTCATGACACAAATATGTTACGTCCATGATGCTCTCTCACCACATAACGGTCAAATTTGATGAAAGGACGATCGATCTGGAGAGTGCCCGAAGTTCATTTATATCAGCTTCTCCTACTTAGGCGATAAGTGCGCTTTTGTATTACCGATCCTATCAACTTAAATAGACAACTTCAAGTACCACTATGTACAGCGAAATTATCCTATGAAATCCGTTAGCAACAGTACAAGAACAAGAAGACTGTCGGTAGATGCTTGTTTGGTGGACAGAAATCAAAAAACGAACTCGATGGGATGCAAGTTACAAAGGTGCATAAAGCTTTGGCAGTAAATGTCGTCAGCATAAAATGTATGAGAATGACCTGTCAGTCGGTGGTGATTATCAAGATCACATAGGAACGTGTGTCGGAAGTACGCGCGTGAAAGCCTTTTGCCATAGAAAATAATCAACATGGCGCCCGTTTGTTGCCTCTGAACCCAGGTAAACATTTCCAATGGGCAGCCTAGGGAATAAATATACGCCTATCAGGTTAACAAATGTTATTATTTTTTAAAGCATGTTTCGTTACCTATTAATAAACCAATCAGTACACTGGATTTTAGACGGACTTAACGAATGGCTCGAGTGAATTGGATCTAACGTTGCCTTAGCTCTGGTCGTTGATTGCATGAACATTTAATTCGTTCAATGAAACATGAGAAAGAGATTCACATTAGCTACGTTAGCTGTCCTGCTACTAGAACACCTTCAGACGTTCGTCGAAACACGATCTTACCTTCACATCCATAAGTATGAATCATAAGACGAAATGCTACCTTTTTCGTCTTCAGCTACTATTGCTATTGTTGTTGTTGTTGTTGTTGTTATTATCCGTATGGGTAACATATGGGCTCGAAAACATTAATTATTTTCACCTGTTGATTAGGTCAATAACAGTCGTTAATTATAAATTGCCTGTTCGTCAATTAGGATAGCAACAAAATCAGCGTCGGTAATTAGCTCACTACTGTATTTAACTTCCCTTGTACATGAGTACAAGTATATGTTTGTTTTAACTTTATCGATTCGTCCTTGTTGGCAGAGAATCTCTAATAATATTTCAACTGTCATGGTTTTTAGGATTAGTCATAATTTTTTTTATTTGCAGCCTTTCAGCTGTTTTTGTGCTGTAACACTACGGCTGAGAGCGCGTCATTTTACGCATCCTTAATGAGAGAAGCCTTTGTATAGGTAATTATTTTTGAACGAAAGTGAGCAAAATATAATTGGGGGTTGTTTGTGAGCGAAAGCCACACAATGACGTTTTTGCAGCCCACTTCGTGGCGAGCCCAACCAAAAATAATACATAGTATATTGACAGCCCTTAATAACAACTGGGTGTTAAGGGCAGAAATGCAGAGTGGGTGTAACCAAGACACTTGCAATACACTCGTACATGAATATATATTGTACGAGTTCCGGTGAGAATTTAATATTACTCTTATTATTACCACAATTATCGTAATTACCATATTTGTGATGAAGGTATATATATATAAACATATATAGCAGATAGAAATGTGACGTTATAAAACATTGACAAAAGTGAACCGAATCTTAATTAGCATGTACCCTTCAATACAAGCTTTTGATGTTGTTTCCGAACGGTAAAAAGATCGGGAGCTAGGTGAGCAAGTGCAGCTGCGGTGACCATTGGTCGCTCGTATGACGTCGATTAGTTCTACTTACGCCTACATATGTCTGACCAAATCACCTTAGCTCGGAAATAGTGAACATTAACGGAAAGGGCGAAGGCGCCAAATAACTGATTATTACTGGTAATTAGCGGGATATAGTAATATGCAATGTTGAAAAATGATGAGATTTATGGAACTAACGCAACTGTGTACGGATTTAGTCGCTTAAGGCATTCAAAAAGTAACACAGCCCACCTTCTGTGATTCTTATTAAAAAAACCCGTACACCTTTTTTATAAATCGTTTCAACTACAATAGATATCATATTAGACTGGAACGACTGTGTCACTTACAGCATCGTTTTAACCAATGGACATGTTGGCGCTTCTCAAAAGCTCATTCTTGACGAATTCAATAACTTCTCATCTCCTAAATGGAAATTAATAGGACGCTGTAATTAAAGTGACATTTTATTTGCTTTCTCATGCAGTAACCGGTATATTTTCTGGTCCGTTTTCCATTTCTATCGCTAATATAGGTGGAAATGCTAATCACCAATTTCGAATAGGTGCGATAGCTTGCCCTTCTATACTCCTAGTTGAAAAAAGCCCGGAGAACTAATTCAAACAACGCCAACGATATCTAACGGTTAATATGATTAAGTAAAAAACAAACGTCAAATTTGAGATTTGCTTGATTCGTCGAGGTTTTAGAGCTCAAGGGTTCAGTGGCGTGACTTGTAGCTCCACGCGTCTTAAAGCCATACACTCGCCGAAAGACCAAGTCGAAGTGAATCAATGTCAACAACTCTATATTGCGTCTCCTATTTAATGTGTATAGAAGAAACATGAGAGGCGATTATGTTTCGTGATTGTGATGACGACTATGGTGACCAAAATGAAGAATCAGCATGAAGATGATGTATTATAGTAAAGTAATTACAATATACGTATGAAAAAAGGCAAAAGTTGAGAAATCATCATACGTGCACCATTCATCATTGACTGATAGACGCATTCTTGTTGAAGTTGACTATATATCCTAGGGAAAACATCTGCGTGTCTTCCCCCAAGGGTTTCCTTCACTTCGACAAAGATCACTGTTTCTATCAGTCACCCGTCATACAATCATTACGATTATTACGTGATCATCATTAAAGAAAGACGGAAATAGTAAATATTAAACGACATACAAAGTGACAGTCATAAGCGTTCATACGTATGCATACATATAAATCATAGTTTATTTGTTGTGATATTTTGTAAAAAATATGAGGTAATGATGATCACGACGAAGAATAGTAGCGATATGATGGAGCCAGGATGCAAAAAAAAACTGCATATAAGCCTGGTCGATTGGATCTGGATGACAGTAAATTATAGAAGCGTTCCGCAAAAAATGTTTAAGATGCACAGATACCCCAGAGTGATGATATTACAGAATAAGCACTATATAGCATATACAGAAATAACAACGAGATTTAAATTATTTAAAACAAACATTTAAATTAATTTCAAAAAAATTATATAATTTTTTGTGTTTTTATTTTTCTATTTTAGTTATGTGAGAGCAAATAGTAGATCCATGTTGATAACGATGATTTTTTCTGTAACAGTTAATAATAACGACCAAACGATCCACAAGAGAAAGGTAATTAAAAAGCTAGGTTGTCTAGTTATGCAAAGAACGTTATGATATTTTAACAAAACGGCTATGATTATATTATGATTGTGATGATTGCCCGAAACGGAGCAGCGCTGAAGGTCATTGTTTGGTAATAAATTTGTTGAAAATAAAAGGTAAAGTCATTTTAGTATTGTGTAGTTAAAAAGGACATCGCATAATCATGTTTTGTACTTATCGACACCTAATCTTAGATATCGTTCTAAACGAGAGCCTCATAACTACAGAAGAGAAGTTTGAAGTAGAAACTTTTGAAGTAGCGCATCACATAGTACATAGATTACGGGTTGTAGGTCCTAATCAGGCCAGGACTCCATCTGTTATCACATTGATCAACATTTAATTTGTGAACAATAAGCTTGATCAAAGTATATATGTCACCATGAAGTTTAATTTAGCGACCACCAACTTTGCGGAACTGAATAAAAAACGATCCGCCTAAATTGGTGCCATTAGGCTGATGAAAATGGACGAGGTTTCATGTTTGTATTTCGACCTCAATTATATTTTAGTATGCCAAGGATCAGCGTGAAAGTGCTTACAGGTAAGAACCATAATTCCTTACTTACTATACTAGAGAACGTTATTGCTTTTTTAAGTAATGCAAAGAGCAATTTTTTTGCCATTTGCCAAATTTATTTCAAATAGTTCAATTATTTGAGTACAAGAAATTAACGCCTAACGATTATTTACCTTTTGATAGTACGCACTTATTAAAGTAATTCACATCAAGTAAGAAAAATAGAAAAGCGCCGAATCATGAATAATTCAAAAGAAAAGCATTTCAAGCAATATTCGATTCGCCTTATTGCAAGGTTGTTATATTTTTTCAATAAACCCACTCTACACCACAAACGAAATGGCTAAAATTAAGCTCGGTCAGAACAAAGGCGGCCTTTTTCACTCTACTAAACGCAACTTTGGTTATTTTTCAACTATAATGGTAGGTTCGGATGTTTAATACTGCCAATCGTTTGCCACAAGCATTGCTAAATGGGGTTGCCAAGGGATGTTCAAATACGATGGGAAAAAAGTCGCTTAGAGTAAAGATGATATGCATATATTTACAAAACTTTTGGGTGTAATAAACATTACTTTTAAACGTTTTTTAAAATGTAAATAATTAGTTTTTATTTAATAATAAATCTGGTTGTTAAATAAAAATGGTTGTTGTGACTGAGATCAAACTGGTGAACTCCACTGTGACCGTACATCGTTTTGGATATTGGATGTACGACGCCTGGATAACGGCTTCTGCAATAAATTGTGTTAGATTCGAAAATTTAGAAATTGTTGGCAACTATATCTGGTCCTAAATAACTCATCATTTTTGAGCGTTTTCCAACCAACAGGAAAGTAAATTTACTCTCACTGGGTTTCAATAAAGACACAAAATAACGAAGGGCAATAAAAAATAAATAACTCGTGAAAAACAACACTCATTTTCTTAATTCTATATGATTTCCTTCCAACCAGGATTTCATGGAAAAATCAAGCAGGATCTTCAGCTTGGTTTTGCAGTTCGACGCTGAGCATTAACTAGATTCTATGTCAGGGGTAATTGATGAAAATTCTCGCTTAAGGTCAACTGTGATATAGGTATATAGGTACCGTATAAGGTAAACGCTTCATAATTAAATTATCAATCTCTCGAAACGTTTGCTTGTCGCAGACGCCTACCCCTAGCTTACTCGCTACTGACGTACACAATAGGTGACAAAAAGAAGTTTTGAGAAAATTATAAGCGATAAAAATTCGAAACAAAAACACTCAGACCGTATATAGAATAATGTATCATATTTTAATAACTTTATTTATCAACGCTGAACATATTCACAGTGACTCTGCCAGCTGGATTTTGTACATAAGCATTAAACTATCTTACAAATGGGGTCTTTTATATATTGTCGCGGTTGTTGTTATCTCTATGCATTGGTTGCCGTATTTCTGATGTGTGTTGTGCACATTATTCAGCGTGCCACACCATTTCTATGGCCTTTTGATGACTTTTGCTTGCTTTCCTTCTGTTTTTGTTGTCTATTCACTCTCGTCCGTTCTCAATCTGAACGTCTGCTTATCATTGTGAATCATTATGTTGATGTTAAATGACATCTAACAAACTATTCGCTACTATTGTAACAGTTTTTGGTGTAGTAGTCTTTAAGGCTCAATTTTTGTCTTTTATTCCTTGTGAGATTCCCTTTTGTTGTTAGGTTCACTTCCTTTCCTGTTTTTTAACCGTTCGTTGTAACAATAACCGCGCCAAACATATCTGTTTCCCGTACAACAAGCATTCTCACACACACACACACCCATTCTTGATGCATCGACCTAACATCAAGTGCCCACAACTTCCGCGACTGTGAAGCGTGTATCGCTCTTATCCGCAGTCCTACCTGCTAGTCTAGACCCACTCTTCCATGAAATATATGTCCCCTTCAAGTGTTTGTTTTTGATACATGTTTCATCACCATTTTTACCCAGATTTTTTTTCGCACAAACGTTTACGCGTTCCTTCGCTCATATCATGATCGGCAGCCGTAGGTTTATTTATTATTATTACTGTAATAACTATTGTCTTTTTATTAATATTATTATGTACGTTTTTACCTACTATCCACTAACGGTCGATTCGCTTTACAATGCTCTATCTATGTGTAGTTAGCTCGTGCTTCATTCATTGTCACTTATTCGTCCATAGGTTTCGCCCTAGTTTTGCCGTTTACCACATTCTGTCAAAATTATTTCGTCTGCTATTCTTATTATCACTAACACCATCATCGTTATTATTGTTCTTGAATGATTTCGCCATATAAATCTTATTATTGTCATCATTATTCTTTAATAGTTATTAGTATTATTATTATTTTTATTGTCTTCATACTCAAAGCTTTGCTGCCGTCTTTCATTATCCACTCTATCATCATCTTTCGCAGAATAAGAAATATTTAATTTGGTCATTTTGTCTGCTCGTCATTACCAATAGATCTATTTAGTAGCCAAATATTAACATCTGAAAATTATCCGATACCATTAGGGCCTGCTTTTTTCTTATTTGTTTTTACTTTCTAAACTTTCTTTTTACATCAACGCCATTTACTTATTTTCGTTTACATTGGGGCCACATTTTTCACATAATTTCACAAATTTTCAAGTACCAGTACAATAATTTCGGCGGTCTTGCCAATGTCTAGAGATGGTCATAGTTAATTGGTAAATACGGGCCTATGCCCTTGCTTCATCATCCCCAAAAGACAAATCGTATTTATATGTCTGGCGGCCTGGACGTTCCTGTTACGATTACAGAATATATATAACCTAAATATTCTCATTATTCATATATAATAATAATAATAATAATAATATCAGTAATGATTCATTACTTATCTGCATTGTCGTCGTTAGCACTATCTAGAGACAGCAACCGCCATCTACCTAAAAGGACATTCCTCTACAACGCTACAATAGATATAATATATATATATAATAATCGTAACTCATAGTTAGTTAATAAATCCTCTGTCATCGTCTTCTGCGCTTAATGGGAAAATGGCCGAAGAAAAATCCAAAAGCGGAACTTCCGGAACGGGAAGGGGCATCAGTGGCGCTTTCGGTAGTGCTGGACGCTTCTCCCATATTCTGCGCGCATCCACACAGACATAATTAGATCGATGTGTTCCTGTTTTACATGAACACATTTATCAGTCATTTATTTTCTGTTGTTGAAAAGTGCCTTCTTAATGGTCGACACCCGCCCTCAGGCAAAAAATGGCCAAAAACGCCCGTGTCTCTTGATTTTTAAAAAGGAAAAATTGCTAGTCTCTTCCCTGTGTCTCATAAAGACGAACAGCGTGATACACACACGCCTTTTTTCATTCTTGAACATTCCCTTATACGCGACATGTTCTCCGAGCCATAGATTACGGTACTTTACAGGGGTTCAGTTTTTCTTCGGCGCCATCCATTCATTTCGACGTCATCCTACCGGAGTTGAGATGAGGCTCCGAAACGGTACTAGAAACCGCTAGCACAACGCCAGTGAAAGCTGCTTTCATGAACTCTTCCTTTGTTAGCAGAATGGCCTTACACTTTGCTCTAGGTCCTGTCTATGTTTAAAGACGTATAGGGTCCAGAATGTGATGCTGGTAGCAATTGTAACGCAGTAATGGTTGCAACTCCTTGTTTATGAACAATTTTACAGAAACAAAAGTTCTGTCTTTTTTTAAACGCGGGACTATAACGGCAATGTACTATAACACAGGTGTCAGGGACAAACCATCCGATAAAGCGTAGAAGTTAAACAGTGTTTTAAAATCGACCAGAAACGGGACAGAGAGACTGCGCGCTCAAAGAAACGAAAAGACACGACATATCAAACCGGCCTGGCATCATAATTGAAGACACGTTGTGCTCAATAATCAAGAACTCCTAACGGACCTAAAGGAGACTTCGTAAACGAGCAAAAATAAACGGATGATATATTCGATTGTCAAGCTGTGCCTTCACTTAGTTAACCCCATATACGGGATCAACATCCGGCAAGCACCGCGTCAAGCTTGCGTCTCTCTTGGGCGCACAGTTTTAGTTTACAGCTTCGTCTTCGTCACTGCGATGGCCAAAAATTTATCACCCGTCGATGTGATACCGATATTAACCGATAATAACTCAGCGATGAACGAGTAAACGGATCCTTTGAAGTCGACTCAATCGCACATATGTTCCCCCATTTTACGCCAACAACCAGCTTCGGTCTTCGCCTTAACCAAAACAATAACAGCAACAAGTCGAAAATTGTGTAGGGCTGAGTGAGTCCATTTCGAAGAGTGGAGCTAAGACATAACTTTCTGTTATAACCTCGTAAAGCACCTCCATTCTTGTTAACATCAATCTCGAACTGCAATACAGTTACGAAATACAGTTTGTAACGCCTCGCATGCTTTCCGCGTATCGTTTAAGGCAGCATGCTCCTAAATATGTCTGTGTGATCCTCTATTTCTCTCCCGCCGTCTCCTGTCCCTCACTCCTTTTCTACTATTATCATTTATAACATATATTTTATATATATATATATATATCCTCTTTCTTATTGTCTATCTTTTCCCAGCTTCCCGTGTGCGCTTCAATGCATCCTGACCACTCTGAAGCGGCTGAGCGCTCGGGCAAGACCGTCACGATCCATAGCGTCCTGGGTGAACCATTTGCTCTGCTGGTCTGCCGTAGACGCTGGCGATGTTACTGACGGCGTGTCTTCACTATCGTTCTTTTCTTTGCACTTTTCAGCACTGCTAGCTGCACTTTTCGGCTCAAGATAGAAACTACTCGACGCGCCGCGACCAGACGCCGCACTGAAACATCACGTTGAAAGGAAAAAACGTTGATGTAGTTAAACCTAACGGAACTTCCGAAAACACCGATGCTATAAGGGTGAGATAGTATTCAGAAATATCAACATGGATCACGAACTGAATAGAAATCACGATAAAAGAAAACAAGATATCAATGCTTAGGGGAATTTAACATACCATTTTGATATGTATGCTTCGACGATGGCTACCGGGCAGCGTTCCTTGTTAAGGACGTTTTCCTGAATGACCTTGTCATTGACTTTCAAAATCTTCTTCGATGTTCCATCTACCTCTTGAGTTTCTACAACAACCTGCAATAGCATAGTAAAAACAATAGTAATTAACTACAAAAAGTCATTGATCATAGACCAACAAGAAATGTTGTGTGCTACTGTTGTGTATAGCCTTAGTGACCTAACGTAAGCTAGAAACTTCTTTTTGGTGTATTCAACGAACCTTTTCCAGCTTGAGCTCTTCGTGTGCGTCGGGATCGGACATCTGTGCATGTTTGGCAATGACAAACGCGACGGTATTGAAAAGAAGGTCGGGTGAGGCCATACCAAGTTGGTTCGTACGCCAAAATAAATCCTCCGAAATCAACTTCGACGGATCCTGTAAAAAAGAAACACATCAATGCAAATCATATGGTTAGAAAAAATTATATTCATAAAACACACATTAAAAATTAACGACTTTTTGTTCAAAACTAATATATTACTCACACTTCTTTTTGGCAAGTAGCACTGAAGTTTAACGGAGTTTATTTATCCTTTATGGAACCGCAAAAGATGTGAATCAATAGATGGTTCAACAAAACAGATAACCAAAAAAACATGCTGAACTGAGCTGAATATTATCTCGAACTCCATCACTTTTAACAATATTTCCAACCACAAAAAATCGTGTTGTTTCAATGTTACATCACCGTTAAGATACATCAAACTGTCTAGATTACCGCCCAAAAGCAACTAAAAGCAAAAAAGATTGCGATAGTTGAATGATTTTCCCTTGCTCACCACTTTCTCTGGCTCAACAGAAGACGTGAGTGTGACGAGGTAGTCGTTAAAGGCACAGAATGCACCGTCATTGAAGATGTTTGCCTTATGCTTCACCCGCTCGAGGTGAAGTTGGAGACCCAAGAAAAGGCGTTCGAGACGCAAAATATCTTCGGTATTGGCGTCGTCCTGCGTGTCTTTGCCGATTGCGCACAGCGCCTGGTTCATCTCTTCAGCACTTAGTTTGGAAAATTCATCGCTCGACAATTTCAATTCATCACATTCACTACCTTCAATGCTTGTTTTCCGCTGTTTTGTCCACTCCGACCAGCGTTGAAGGGCCTCATCGACAAGCTCTTGGCCCTCGTCTTTAAACCGTTTCTTGTTCTCTTTATCGCCCTCGCACTCGCCATTCTTCTGGGCCTGTCTATCGTCGTCATTGTCATCTCGTGGTCGCTTCTTGCCACCACTTGACCCGTCGTTGTAGTTGTTTAGACCGCCATTGAGCTTTGGTTCCTTAAGAAGGCGTTCGGCGAGCTCCTTTGCCAATGAATGTAACTCGGATTCAAATTCAACTAACTTTTCGCCCTCCAAGCCGCCCCGTAGCTGGTCGATATCCAGAAGAACTCCTTTGAGTACCGGTTTTCCTGTAATTTCATTTTTAGTTAAGGCTTAATAACGAATCCACAAATACATGTCGACGTAAGCAAGCCAGACAGCAATATTCATCGATAAGATTACATATCTCGAAGGACGAAATAGAGCAGAATCGAATAGAAAGCACATGAAAAGTGTATCAAAATTGGAAATAAAATAGAACCGTCGTAATAAAAACTGAAGTTTTAGCAAGTTTACCGCAATAAATGTATGTTATACTCCTGTGCGTTTGCGCTCTCTTTTTCAACCCTATCTATATAGAAACGTTAAATTCCGCTAAATTACTATGCTTTATTTATATTCCTCAATGATTACGCTCTAGAAACGTACCTTTATAATTACGCTTTATGAGTATTCCTCTAAGAATAGCAAAAACTCACTTTTTCCTGTTACGACCTCATCGATTCGGTCACTGTCACGTTGGTCCTCATCCTCTGACGGTTTACACTGGACAGATTTATTGCGCATCTCTTTCGGCGGGGGTGGTCGCACAACAATAGGCGTATTGTTCAGTTGCACTACTCCGGGCGGTAACTGCACCACTCCAGCGACCTGTCCGCTAGCCTGCGTTACCACTTGACCCGTTTGCGTGACGGTCACTTGTTGACCTCCACTTTGGGCGATTGACATTTGTGCGCTACTCGGAAAGACTCGAGTCACCGGAGTGGACACTTTGCTTACAACCTGATTCACCTGTGGCAGTTGGGCAAGTTGAGATACAGCTGCGGCAGCTGCCGCCGCCTGCTGACTCGATAGGCGCTTGTTAATTTGATTTGTTGCGGCTTGCGTGACGACCTGAGCAGCCGCTGACTGGGCTTGCACTTGCGCCAAATTGACAGTTTGAGTCAATACGACCTTGTTACCTGGAAACGTCGATGTTATGTACACCAGATTAAATGAACTGAGCTGCCTGGATCAAGTCCGTCTTATGCAGTAAGCTTAGTAAAGCTTATTTAGCTGAATTTAAGAACGATTTCCAAATGCAACCAATCCAAGTTCTTCACTTGTTATTATGTGTTATGGCCTGCTATAACGATAGACACCTGAAATGCTAGGCCCTGTTGAAGCACAAGGACACAGGGCTCTACATATCGAAAACGTTTTCATTCTTTTGTCACACCCGATCTCCTTCTACTGCAAAAAAAACACTCATGACTATCTACTCCAGTTCCACACAAATGAGGTTTATTACTTCGCGTGCGTCCTTGAAGAAAAAAAAATCGAATAACATAGCAAAACTTACGTAGCAAAGTTTGCTGAGCTTGTTGGTGCTGCAACACCTGCTGAGCCTGATGTTGCTGTTGTTGTTGTTGTTGCTGTTGTTGTTGTTGTTGTTGTTGGGCAGCCAATTGTTGGACCGCTTGATTCTGATGTTGCTGGGCAGCTGCGGCTGCTGCTGCTGCAGCGGCGGCTGCCTGCTGCTGTTTGTTCTTAAATAAATTTTGGAAGGACAACGCGCAGTTATAGCAACAAAAGTTGCGAACTGACGCGTCGCTCATGGTCAAGTGAAATTGCGGCCGGGCTAGCTTTCCACACTGGTCGCATCTGAAGGCAACGCCGTTTCGTTGTTTGTAACACGAGGGTGAAGTTGAAACAGGTCAATAACAAGACAAAAACAACAACGTTGTCCTAAAGTTAGTGATGAGCAATGAAAGATGATAATGTTCCGAGGCTGTGCACAATAACAAACAAAACATTATGTATATGACCTTTAACTGATAGAGACATTGCTGGATACTTCTGTCTTGCTTGTTATTTTTGGTTAAATCAATCTATAATGTGAATTGAAGTGTTTTTTGGTACATTGATAGTAAGTATTAAGACCCTACTAATTTTGAGAAGCCCATAAAATCCGTCTATTACAGCGATTTCTTTCATTTTCAGAGCATAAACCAACGCGACAAAATGCTGGCCTTACAAACGAATCGGTAGCATATCCTCAAAATGTTTTTATCGTTTTTAAATTAAAATAGTGTAGATTCTTCTCAATTAAGCGTTTTAGTGCCACGAATCGATGAAGCAGCACGAAGTCACGAAACTGATATGAAGCCACTAAATCTAGATAAAATTTAGTATAATAGATGTAGATATTTATCTACATCTATTATACTAAAGCTAATCTACTAAATATTTTGAGTTCTAAACCCGGACATGCATTAGCTTTCAGACGATTGAATCTTGTGCGAACCGAAACGTGTCTACACCTCCTCATATGTACCTAAATTTACAAAGCAAACACGTTACACTGCTTCAAGCTCAATTATAACTGGATCTACAAGTCCAGTTAATACTTACTTGACAAAACCTTGCTGAGTTTTGGCTGCGGCCTGTTGCTGCTGCTGCTGTTGTTGTTGTTGTTGTTGTTGCTGCTGTTGCTGCTGTTGTTGCTTTTGTTGCTGCTGCTGCTGTTGAGCCGCTGCAACAGCTGCGGCAGCTGCTGCCGCCTGTTGTTGGGCGGCCACGGCCTGTTGTTGCTGTTGAAGTAATTGTTGCACCTGATGCTGTTGGACAGCCGAAACCTTATTTTGCAGTAGGCTCTGTGCGCGATGCGTTTGACTTGCGGCTTGTTGTGCTGCTAACTGGGCCTGGACAACGGGAACTGGCTGGTGAGTTTGTCTCGCCACCTGCGAAGTTTTTGCTTTATGCAAATTTAAACAGTATATCGAGCAGAACAATTGGACGACGTCACCGGCGGTATAACGCTCGATCATATCGAAATTATACTTTTTTACTTTGCACCAGCAACAAGGGACAATTTTTCGGTGACTTAGTACGAATAGATTTAGACAAGTCTTTGTGCAGAACTTCTTTCGTGGACCCTTGACGCCCAACTGTAGTGTAATACTTTCGCCTGGTCGGGTGCGAAAACAGTGGCAGTTTTCACAGTATCCGCCGTCCAGCTTATGATTATACCGAAATCGAGCAACGCACGGGTCGCTGCAAGCGCACGCTAGCTCCTTGTCATCGATACCATATTTCAATTGTAGCTGTTTTGGCTGGCACCGATTTGAGCAAATTTTACATTTTTCTGATGGATCAACTGGCCTTGCGGGCGTAAGGCTCTCGTAATGTTTAACGCATTCCCTCGAGCAGAAGTCTTTGAAAGCGCACTTGTCACCAACCTGTGCCACGATAGGTTCGACTTTCTCTCGGGTCAAGTCTTTCTGACAATATGCACACACTTTCAGACCTTTCTTGAACTCTTCGAGGCACTTTCCGGTACAGAACTGACGGATGTCCGCACCAAACCGAACGCAGTATTTGCCCAACGATGTTTCTTGTACGACAACGTTACAATTGGCACACTGAGCACCGATTTGTAGTTGATACTTTCGCAAGCAAGGTACGCCACAGAATTCAAGCGTCTCCCACAGTAGCAGGTCAGGATCACCTGAGGTCAGGTGTTTAATACACACAAAACATACTCGTCTTGGAGCGTGTTTTCGTTCTGTCAATTCGAAGCACTTTGCTGAACAGAGAGGCTGTTGTGCACCGAGATGAGAGCACAGGAAACCACTCTGGTCGATCTCCTCGTGGCATGCCTCACACTTGTCTTTCTTTTTCGGCTGTTTGTCCTTGAATGCCTTAAAGCAATCCTCATTGCAGAGCTGAACTTGTTCGCCTTTGTAGAACACTTTAAATTTTAGTTTCTTTTTCAATGCCCCGCATTGCATGCACACTTTCTTTTTATCCTTCTTGGCATCTCCATTAAGCCCCTTGCCGGAGTCCTGTGTCGACTCATCTAGGTCTTCGTTGGCCATTGCACGGCCTATTGTTCTAGCAGATACTAAAAATACCACAGCACTCTTCCGCTACCAGACGGGCCGTGCCGTCTTCCAGCGCTGCGCTGGCTCGTCGTATTCGGGTCTCCCGTCACAGTCTCGGTATCGGTCCAACTGTTTTCTTCTCAAAGCGTTCTAGAAGAAAAAGTTCGCATGACAAATAAAACAAGAAATTAGTACTAGGCTAAACGTAAAGAACTCGTAGTTTTTTGCTATATCTTTTCCGCGTGTCATATCTGCTTTTCATTCCTGATCTTTGACATTTTTTGGTAAGATTTTAACAATGTAGATGTGTTAGGCTGGCGCATACTTCTGTCTGCTTTCCATCTAATAAAAAATAGCATTTTATCCCTGTTTTAACAACGAACTCAGTGATTTTGTATTTGCTATGATTTTTACGATTGTCTACAATTTCTCAATTAATTTTGTCCGTTCCACAAGAAATATTTAGGTCTGGTGTGAAAAAAAACTTGCTTTGTCAGTTATTGAGACCCTCTACATTGTCAAATTTACCGTCAAAAATTAATTTGTCGTGACTCGAAAAAACTGAACTACGTTCGCCGAGCCGTCAGCACCAGTTTTAGAGAATATAGCCGATGCAAACTCGTACATCACGTAATATCTTGCAAAGCGGCTTTAACAGCTTTTGTAACGTGTAGCATGATTAAAAAAATCATTTGATCTTATTAATACGGCCTTTACTTTGCATGGACTCGTTTACTTGATACAATTGGGCCGTATACAGGTCTCTGTCAGTTGTCTTGCTTTTCTCAGACAGCTTCCAGCGAATAGGATTCTTACACTCTGTGTTCGCCTACTGGGTTAAGCACATGTCGCAGTTAAAGTCGCCTTTCGCATATTACGACTCTCAACGGTTACTGCAGCACCCATGAGCAAATAAATAATTTGCGCCATCATTTCCCATAGGTTTGTCAATGATATAGTCAATAGGGCATATGGCACCCGCACTTAAAAAAATCCAATTATTCGCAAATTAAGAAAGATACTCTCATTGTCTTTCGGGTATCAACATATCCACTAGTTTATTTTCATCGGCTAGGGATTGCTAACCAGTTATCGCCTATACCTGCCTGCTGCTGCATCACACAAAGGTGTGCCGGTGGTTCGGAGAGCTGCATACTTGCGGCGTTATACTCACTACGATAAAGCTAAAGCTTACTTCGGCATATGGGCTTTTATGTTTCGTGTTACCACTGGTCAACTATGAGCAGATGAAGAGCAACCACTTAAGATCGTAGAACCTAAAAGACAGGCTCCCCTTCAGTCACGGTCTGACGTCACACTTCCAATTTAACGATTCGTGATTTTAGATCTTGATAGAATCTCTTTTCAAACAGAAATTACGGTAACAATGCGACGGCTCAAAGAGGAATTTGATTACCAGAAGGACATATATATATATATACATATATACGGGTTGTAAATGCTCACAGGTAATTTTTAGAAATCCTTTGAACAAACTGTCCGTAGTTATGATATTTGTATGTATAGATTCTCTCAAACTCTCAAACAGGTACAAAAAATTCTACGAGTTCAGATGTTGGACAGCCGGTAGGGCAGGTATTAAGTCTGGATGCAAAAATTGCAAAGAGGCGTAAAAAATCATAAAATAATTAACCGGTAGAGGTTACCTGGGTGACGATACATACTCCCCTTAAAAACGGCTGCTACTTTCTGCATAAAAGCCTTAGATCACCAGAGAGATGTCTCTTTGAGCTATTTTTACAAATTTTTTAGCTTATTCAATCTAAACAATATTGTAGATCCCAATTTCTCATGTAGATTTTCCTCATTTTCTTCAGAAGCCTTGTGGAGATTAGCACCAATGTGGACCGCCGATTGCGGTCGATCGAAAAATTCTATAGACTCAATAAAGCTGTCTTGGGTGCAAAAATATTGAATAACAGTTAATGGTTGCTCGTTTTTTGAAGACCAACCTCCTACTTGCAATGTGTTTGTGGTTCAGAAAAAATGCGCTTTCTTTAAGTTTCAGTTGTAACAATGCCCGCATACCTAGTACGATAACAATTTTACCTATTAGATTATATATGTAATACAGTACTGGTCGATGAGCTCAAGAAACATCGCGCTACAGGTCTCACTATTTATCCCATCCACCCCAATATATACATACGGTAATGCCAACTTAAATAAAATAAGTAATATTTCATCCACTCGGAAAGACAGGAGGATTTCACTTTACAAGGCGCTATTACACATAATTGTAAATCTTACGCAATACATTCGATATCCGGATATCTATTTTTATGTTCCTTGAAAAATTAAAAGCACTAAATCAAATGCTACAACGTACAATGAACAGAATTAAAAGATGCGATATGGCACGTGCAAAATGGACAGATCAAAATAGATCAGTGTTAGATTTAGAAGTTCTATTTTTTCTTCCTTTTAATTAATTACTTATTCAGTTTACTTATTTAAATAAATCACACCATTAAGAGAGTGGTTTATGCATCGTAACTGGAAAGTTCACTTAAAACGAAAAAATTCCTATGCGTACATTGATTCCGCTCCAGAAATAAAAACTGAACAGTTGTTACTGGAAAATTTAATTGAAAAAATCATTAATTGAAAATCTTAATTGAAGTATGTCAGCGGCATTACGGAAGCAGATACGACGTAGGCCACTTTCCTTCGTTTTGTACGTTACGAGCGTCGTTACACACTTTCGTTCCATATCTGTGTGCATACGTGAGAGCAACATGTGACAGGAAGCAGCAGTCATATGAGAAATGCCTTGGCCAATCTGTTCACTTACAGTGTGATCAATTGATTGACTTCGATGGGAAACCTCTCACCTTTCGTTGAAAAACACCTGCTTCTATTGTACACACTTCAACAGTAGCAGCGGACATTCAATTTTTTTTTATCTGAATGCTTCGTGCTGATACGTTGATTCGCGTCGATTTGCATACGCATACGTTAAATATCAAGACCAGACGATAGTGATAACTGGTCACGACGTTCAAACCTACCAGTTTCATACATAAATCTTACTAAGAATTTTCCGATCAGCCCGATGTAATTATACCACTGTCGCCGGCATTATAATTATACAATTGAACTCAATTACCTTGGGCCACATCGGTGTTTAGGTGCGATATTTAACGACCGCATCTGCTTCATATTTGGGCTCAAATACGCTCCTTTATCGTACGTCTCATAAACAACTTATGTATGGGACTGAATATATTTATAAATGTTAATATATCCTTATACAGGTATGCCCTGGAATTCACCATTTCCGAGACAGAAAACAGCAAATTTGGGAAATTCCTTTTAATGTATGGGCATATATTGACGCAACTTCAGAGATTTAAGCTAATAAACAGCTACACTTTGATTCTACAAATGCTATTTGCGAGGTGATATATTAATACGCTTGGTACTTATTCTCAGTCAGGTTATCCTAAAGGTAGTTCATGAAAAGAAACAACTTTGAATTGAATTCAGAGCAGTTTATGCTGTACTCAGAAGGCAGATTCTGATCCTTCAAACGCATCTATTATGAATGGTGCAGTAGCAACGTGCTTGACAACTAAAATTAGAGATACGTAAGGTGATCTATGTTAGAAATCGGACGTAGACACATGTACTTTGGTTCTGCAATTCAGCCATCTGAAACAAAATTAAGCGGCAGTACCACACATCTCCAAACACTTTTTCGTCTAAGCTTATCCATCATTAAGAAAACAGAAATGTGCTTCAAAATCATACTTAGTTTATTCTTAGTTACGTCGAACGTTCCCAAACCATTATTTAAGCAAAATTACCTCCGTTCCTGCTAGCCAAGTTCGTACCTCTTTAATAACAATATCATACGTAATCTCAAGAACAAAAAGTTTTTTCGCCCTCTTTTTTCTTGGTTTCCTTCCGTCGTGCCAACGCACGCTACAAAATTCACCATAATATATATCCTTTAATCACATGAAGGCTGCGTGGTTAGCTTAACTTGGCACGCCCCTCTAAGGCCTTTTTTGCAGTTGGAGTCGTATCATGGTTAAGAACGGCGTAGCATAACGTTTGCGACCAATCTGCTATAACGATTGCGAGCACAACCGTCAGTGGTTCAGTTATCATCGTTGCGTAATACAACAGCTACAGACGATGGCCCTCTAGTGGAAATGTTTACTCCTGACTTGCCGTGGCCTGCGTGCGCATCGTGTGAGTGCCATGACCTTGTAACTGGTGTGTACGGAAAAACTTGATATATAGACTACTGATATTCTTCTGGGTCCACACCTCACCCCTTCATTATAGATATCGCAGATCTTGATGTGTTTTTCTCCCTTGATATATTTTTGTGCTTTTTTTAGTGTTCGACTTTTGGGAAACAGAGTTTTGAAAAAAAAACTGATCAAACGTTAAGAAGAATTGTTCTATCACCTTACTCTAGGAAGTTCTTTTGTGTCGAGAAATACAGTGATATGATGTAGGAAAAAATTACTTGAGAAATATTATCATTTTTGAACGATTATAAAGATTGGATTTAGGACCAGCTTTTTGCAGCTGGATAGTGCCTTGTTATGGTTTAGCAGATATGGAGAAATAGCAGATATGGATACCTTCTTTTGCTATAGTTTGAATTTCATGGGCCTTCACGATTGGTTCAATGCTTCCGTACCAAAGGCACCTACTAAAAATAAACGGGCTGATTCCGAAAAAAAATTTTATATTGTCCTAAAATTAGTAAATACGTCAACATATTTCAATGTACTGTATTTTCCTTTATGATAATGCCAATTTTAGGACGATCGCCTAAGAGCAGTAATCATAAAATCCACATATGTTAATCAGTTACATCGACTCGATAGTCACGAGGACGTTATACAGATTTTTGCAAAACATTGTCTTTCCTCTCCCGTCTTTCATCTTTTTCTGTCAAAGACGTAACGGTATCCTACAACTACTCGTTTAACCAGGCCTACTCTGCTGTAGCTGCTAGTGTTCACTGCGATGTGCGAATGGCATGGAAGCAGGGGTGCGCTATGGCGGTAGCTTAGCCGCTCAGCTCGACTCAGCTTCCGGCTGTTGATGGTGGCGATGTTCTCCAGGCCAACTGCGGTATGAGGCCTTCTGGCTACGGCAGGATT